TTTTTAATTATTGAAATCGGACGTGCCATTCAAAAGATATCATGAAATTAAAATAAAAATACATGCCGGCGGCGGCCGCCACGCCGCGCATCGAGTAACTAACCCGACGAGAGGAGCAGTGGACGTGAGCGACATTTAATATTCCTTTTTTTTTTACATTTTCATGCTTCACTTAAAAAGTTCTTTTCAGAGCTAATTAGTTTTACTATTAGGAATCATTTTGCATAATATTTGTCAAAGTTCTTTTCGGAATTATCTCTTTGAACTTGAATACATATTACAAGTATACGAACGACAGTCAAGCGCCGAGCGCTCGGAGCGACTTGAGGGAAATAGAGCTAGGAATTCGCGAACGCTTGCACGGGACTCTAACACTGGACGCTCGCAGCGGCTTCCTGACACAGCGACATAGACAACGGTCGTTCACAGCTAGGACTAGCAATACAATTTTTTTCTAATTTAGTGATTCACTCACTTAAAACGACCGTTTTAATTAGCATGCTTTTAGTTTTAATATCTGTACCTATTTTTGTCTACCCGTGCGAAACCGGGACGTGCCGCTAGTACTGTATATTTCTCTTCTGCTGTGAGCTTTGGCATGAGGTTTTTCTTATCTAGTTTTAAAGTCGAAGAGCAATAACAAGTTATTTAAGGTATTTAAATATTGGGTATATAAATTTAATATTGGGCCTTTGTCGCCGCCGTTCGCTTAATGACTCTGACTACTATCGGGTCGGGCGTGAGCTGTTATGAATAAACTGCAAATGTGTGTACAAAGGCAGCGAAACAATCAGATAATGATACAATAAATACTCTACCGGGCGAACGATACGGAACGTATAACGAATTTCGGTCCAAGTAACCGCGAAAAAAAAAACTAGCAATTTCGCCCGGGACATAAATATTGTTTTAGGAACGGCTATTTTTTTTTACTCCTAGTTTTACTGCTTTGTGTAGCATAATTTGTAACCTTTGCCTCTCCGCTGTCGTGGCTCGTGACATGCGGGATATTTTGTGGTTTTATGTCGTCGCGTTCAAACGTAGTATTTAGATTCCATCGCTGGTAAATCTTGTACTTTATATTGTGTATAAGAATTGTGATGTATGTACATCGTTTACATTTGCCGTACGCTTTGATATGATGCTGTGCTTGTTTAAGAAATTAACGTTTACGTCGCTATGCTAGATCATTGTGGCATTAATTTATTTCTCGTATTGACAATAATTTAGTAGTATACTTACTTTACGAGTTTTTAAAACAGTGGCGCCTACATATAGTTTGTTGTGGACTACACACATATCACTTATTATTTTATCTATTCCTATAATTTATGAGTAAAGAATGTCTTCCAGCAATCATAGAAGTTCGCCTTAGAGCAATAATGCGAGAAATTGTTTAAAACTTTCCATATTTCTTGTATAATTCAAATTATTATATAATTATTACAATACTCCGAAAATGCATCGTGTTTTCCACTTCCCTTCAGTTGGGGATACCTAATACTCGTGTGGAGTTCGGCAAACTTGGTGCCCGGTTCGAATTGCCAAATGTTTCCTATCGTAACTTTGGCTCGGCCGGTGCAAGTTTCCCGTCATGGTCACATATTTCATTGATAGGGGATTATTCTATCACGAAATAATAGTAAAAGTATTTTTCTGTATAGTTAATATTAGTCTTAATCTTCTTAAGCTTAACGTCATTAGGAAACATATAAGCATATATTTGAGTTATGTTGACACAACCTTGTAATAGATTGAACACAGAAAACGTCATTTGATAACGAGGACAGGTGTTCCCCTGAGAGTCCCATTGCACATAAATTGTAACTTATCGCCTTCTATTGTGAGTCTCCGTGTAGGTCTACATTAGTTCCGTAATGTCACTTTCTTAATCCTCTAATCTTAATGGCTTAGACGATTGCTACTTTGTTTCTTGTGACTTGCATACGATACTTCGTTACTTACTACACGTACTCGTAACTACCTGATGTTAACTATTAGTTTGTAATATTATTAACAGGAGAGTTTTTAAAGAAATCAGCCCGTGGAGTAGTACTAACGAACGTAGCGCTTACATTGACATTGTAACCCCTGTCCCCTAATACGCTGTTACTGGTTATCGCATATGGATAGCAATGTACGCAGGAAACTAATGGAGGAATACGTCAGCCGTACGTAATAGACAGGCTTCCCTTAAATTAGAAAAGGGTTGCGATACGGGGCGGGCTCGAGTGTGTCTCGCGTTATTTATGTAAATGTCTTTTGAAAGATTCGTTCGTTCTAAGAATATCAAAGTGTATTACATGAAGCACCTGTTGTTTCATTCTTGAAGTGAAAACTGTCGCTGTGTCTCTTTCACTCGTCGATTCTTTACAGGCGATTAGTTGATTAGACTTCTGTGCGCTGCCCGTTCAAAGCTTTCATACTCGCTAGCATCGCGTCGAGTGTTTACAGTTAACTGTCGAGCTTATCTCAAACGATTGACTAAAAGTGATGGCTAAACATCTTGTAAGTTTAGGCGAGACCGACGTAAACATATCGTAGAGCGGTGTAGATCAATCAAAGCTGTCAGAAGAAGCACGGTTCGAGGCGCGAGCTTCGAGGGATATTTCCGGAATGGCAAAAGTAGCAACTTTCGGGCGCTATCCGTTCGATCACCACGGGCTAAAAAGGTGGCTGATACATTTTCTATATAATGTGACAACGAATCACCAATCTCACTACTGAATAGGACGTGAAATTATTATTTATAGGAAAAAAAATCGCCGAAATAGTTATCGGATAATATAAGATATTCAGGAAAGGAATGTTACTGAAAAAGAAACACTTCGGAGGATGCCATTTTTTTAAATTCTGTTTTAGAAATTCATTTGAATCTGTTAAAGATTAAATAGTGTCTGTAGTTTACGAGACTAGTACACATTTTAATAAAACACTTTGACGGTTTAAACCCAACATATATTAGTTGAACTTATTAGAAAATTATATTTAACTTCAGCCCGTCGTTTCAGATGCTTTGCAGCAGTCGTGATGGCATACCGCAGATTTTGAGAGACGTCTTGTTTTATATCCGCGATGTGTTCTTTAATTCTGTTCGAGACGCTGTACTTTGTTTGGCCGATGTAGGATAGGGCCCAATCACAATCCAGTCTGTGAAGGCCTGCATCTTGTAAAGGGACAGTACATTTGGTAGGTTCCAGGAATTGCTGAATCTTCTTGTGCGGCTTGAAAACTGTGTCAATAGAAGCTTGTTTTAGGACTCTGCTAATTCTATCTGTAACTCCCATATGTGAATGGTAGGTAAGCTGATTCTGCGGAGGGCCTGCTTGATATGCTGTAATTCTTGCGTAAATCAATCAGCGTCACAGAGACGGCGGGCCCTCTGAAACAAAGATACTCCGACAGAACTAAGTGGCTGGGGTGGTGATGTGAGTCACAGTTCAATTACCTATCCTACGGGTTGTTTTTCTAAAGACCGTATGACCGAAGTTACCGCATTCATCACGAATTACTAATTTGTCTAAGAAAGGTAGTGTGCTATTGTCCTCCTGTTCCATGGTAAACTTAATGTTGTTATGAATTGAGTTAAGGTGTGTAAGAAATGCAGAAACTTGTACTTTGGGTAAGATGGTGAAGGTATCATCTGCGTATCGCTTGTAAAGCTTAGGTTTAACCGGGGAAGAAGCGAGGGCTCTCTCCTCAAAGTCTTCCATAAAAATGTCAGCCACTAAGGGTGAAACTGGAGAACCCATGGCTACCCCATCTACCTGAATACAACAATTTTAACTTTGACGTCAGAGACATTCTCCATCTTTAGTCTCCCCGTGACCACGGCTCATGCAAAGTTAAAGTGTTGTATTTAAACAGTTAAAGATGGTTAACGGCTGCTTACAAGACATCAATTATAATTGTAATGATTTCTCATCTCACAGTGTGTGGCGGTCGACAATAAATCACGTGCATATCGCCGGGCGCAGGGTGGGCACACACACTACACACACTTTTGACCTTATTAGCATGCCGCCTCCCGTGCTGAGCGCCTGCGGAATCGTTAATAGCTAAACACGACGCCGGACTGAAATAATCATTGTTCCACTGCATCTACCTTTTATCTCTCATTTATGATTACATATATCTCGGCGGACCATTGTTCCGTGTCATTTTCTCTAAAGATTTTAAAACCCACTGCAGCACTGTTGGAATTATAAATACAAACATTTTAATCGCATCGAATATTTACTCGGCAAATGTGAACTCATTATGGAACTTTATTTATGGAGCTGCACGTACGCTGTTCGGTCAGCCGTTAATATTGCACATCGCTTTCCAGGCCGTTCGGCCTAGCTTGAAAGTTCAACTTCGGAACGCATAAAATGCTTTCAGGATTTCATATTGTTCATCGCGGTACACCCCGCGCCCGCGTTTCTTAATGTTTTTTTGCAAATTCATTATAAATATAGGATCGGTTTAAAATAACAAAAGTTCGTCGAGGGACAGCCGCGGTGGCCCGAATGTAAAGTTCTTCGAGTTATGGAAGTTAGCGGGCTTAACGACCGCCGCGCTCTATTTATTGCCGCCCAAATATTATGTCGCCGTCGCCGTGAAAAGTTAAACGAATCGTTTGAAGTCTCAGCTTTAACTTTCCATTCTTCCTCGAGTACTAGATGTCTAAACCTGCAGATCCTGCCTGTCCTGTCAGAACCGCAAGTGATCGCGTTTAAAGTTTGACCTCGTTTATTTGTAAGTGAAGCGTTAACCTTTGTTACTACTTTATCCTATCATTCTCGGGATACAGCTAACCTTTAATAATTAATAATATGTAACAAAGAAATTGTGGTAATTACATACGGGAGCAGGTGCGGCCGACGCCTAATGAGTTCATAAATTGGGCGAAAGGGTCCGAGAGGCCACCGGGCGGCCGGTTAAAGCTTTACACTTTTTCCCACAAATTTCTCACAATTATTCCGCTTAATGCATTCTGTGTGTTAAGTACCAATAAAATGTATTATTTCCTGTATACGAAACAAACGACCATCCCCGGGTGAGTCTGTCTACGTGTCACGTGCTGCGTAGCACTTCTACGAATCGCTCGACTCCACGCTCTACGACGAGCACGGAAAAAATTCCCTCGACGTCTCTATTCCGCTAAGCATGACAATATCATACAAATAATAAAATCGACGCGATTGATTCATGTTGTTCCTTGAAAAATTAAAATTGGTTTTATGACGAGAAGCCATTGTGCATTGTGAATAATGATTTCTCGGCGGAAGAGCGAATGCTCCTTTGTAAAAAGCGCAGAGAATAAATCACCGTGACCATTAGAGATGCACATTTATGTAAATTACGAAACGATATTCCTTTATATCGCTCTTTCGTTCTGATTGCAGTTTTTGTTTGCTTCGAATCCGCTGCGGTCCGCGGATTACTTTGCAAAGTAGCGTTTTGTTCCACATTTCTTTTTGATTCGATTCTTTGCATTGTTTTACGTGCGTCCGGTTGAGACTGCTGAGACTTTCGACTCATTTTGATGGCCACACACTACTCAAAACAGCGGTCAATTAATTTTACCAACTAAGTAAAGCTATATCTAGAACTAGACGACATGGCCACGATTACCATGAAAGCGCTTGTGAGTTAACCTCAAAAGATAGACATCTACTCTCGGGAACGTTTCTGCACCTTTTCTACTACTTCTTCGCTCTTATTGACCGCAGCTTGATGTTTTCTAGCTTAAAGCCATCCTCGATAAATTTTCCAACCAACACAAAAAAAATCAGTCGAAGTTCCTGAGATTGGCGCGTTCAAACAAACTCTTCAGCTTGCATTATCCTAACTGGAATGGAATGGTCTAATGTCAAAAGTGTGGTTGCACTCGGATATTTTTGTTTTAACTAATTGGGTTGCGACCGCGCGGGAGGCTTAATTGTAAAGTTGCCAGATTTCAGCGCTCCGCCGCCTGTGGTTTGATATATTGAACTTTTCATTTAGTATTGACCCTAATATTTGCAGGCGGCAATTCGAAAGTGCTCGCAAATAAGTCTGTTCAATTCGTGTGATACTTAAGCAATCCACAATAATAATATTATTGGAAACTCTGCGTTTTTATTATTGTAAAGTGAAACTGGCATGGCTGGCATAGCTGGCATTGGGTGGGCTTGTATTGCTAGCATGCCATCTTAGGTAGTGCGTTACAAAAGTCAGTTTCGTCAAATACCAACTTCGACAGAACGGATGGCGCTAGTGTAGCAGTTTTTTACTTTGACGTCAGAGAAACCCTCCATTTTAAGTCTCCCCGTGACCAAGACTGCTGCAAAGCATCCGAAATGTCGGACCATAGTTAAAATAATTTTCAAATAAGTTTAACTAATATATAGCGCGTTTTAAATCGTTAAAATGTTTTATTTAAACGATTTAAAACGCAAAATTTAAACTTTTATCGAGCAGTGATTTCGCTACAATTGATCCACCTCCTAGATGTGTCTATCTATCTGCATCGTATTCTTGCTTCCTATGTTAGCGGGAAAGTGAAAAACGCGATCTCTAAAAATCCAAATAATATGAAAGTCATATTTGAATTCCACATCGCAGGAAAATACGCTATTATCTCTGCCCCACGTCCGCCCGGGAGCCGGATACTCTATGTCCGGCTTCTAATATAAGCGGACATAAACCGGAGCCGGGCTATCGCATGAGTTTGAGGCTTTTTCATGGTGCGTTCTTTGAAAGCAACCGTATCTATCGGTATCCAAATCGAATGTTTATCCTTTAAGGGACAATTTATCTCGTGACAAATGCAATCGAGAGCGCAGTGCAGTCATCAGTCACGCCTCCATGTCTCCGAGCGACTGATCACAAACTTGGACCCGTGATGGATGACTTCGATGGATCGATGGATCCTCGAGATACGACCGCCAATGCGGAAGTGCATCTCTCTTTTCATACATCGGCCGGAATAGTGGAGTCTCACCTTAAGACCTTTAAGCGTGAACTTATAGTTAACCCATAGTGTATGTTGGCATGCAAAGTTTTTAATATCCACAGTAATATAAAGAAATGAATAAAGTCAAAAACTACTGTGCCGACTTAAATATTTCACCATTAGAAAGCTACATCCACCCTGAGTAACACAGGCTATATTTATCGCTAGGTTAGGGTACCTTATCGAGACTTTAGTAACGTAAAAGGGTTAAAAAGTGTAATAAATAAAACGTCGTTCTTCGCATGCGCTACCTAAACTGTTGATTTTAGAACAAAAGAATCTTTTGCAATTTTGCAAAACATATAATCTACGAAAAATGTATTTGATTAATATTTTTTTATTAATACTTATCAATATTTAAAACGGCTTTAATACTCCTATATATTTTTTGAATCATCCAATTTAAACAAATCCATTCGAATGATATCACCAATAAAATAATTCAAGTTAAGTATTTGATGTTTAAATGTGGCACTGTCGCCGCTCGCACCGCTCGGACGGCACCGTAGTGAGCAACGTATGCGTCACGGGGATAGGAGCTGATTAATCTTAGAAAATTATTTTGTTCACTCCAAATTTTATAAGTAATTAAAACACCCTTCTGTAGGAGAAGGTTCTAGGCGAAATGTACCTTTACATCAAGAATATGCACGAAAATAATGTTGTAACCTCGAATCGGTAGTGACAACGAAATATACAAATAATTAATTCTTAAAGTTTCTGACAACTTCGAAATTACCGTCGATAGATAACGTGACTAATATATAGATAATGCAATCATTATATTAATACATTCAGATTGAATAACGTAGGTTACGGATACTCTAAGGAGAAGTTCGAGAGTCGTAGGGCTTCGGCACGCCAGGCACTCTCGCATTAATCTGTGAGTCTTAGCTTAACGATACACAGGTGAATGTGAAATTTTACTGCAATGGAATCTTAGTCTTATGGTTTGAGAGTAAGAGTATCTATCGATGTTGCAGCTACACTTCAAAGAGTAGCTTCTTCAAACAGGAAGCATACATATTCATTTTAAGTTGCTGTATACAGTGTGTGAATCAGAACCTTAGAGGAGATTAATAAGTTGTCCTCTTGGCCGCAGCCGCCCGCCCAAGAGCAAGTTTGTGTCGAGTTTACAAAGTTTATATCGCGAAGTTTCGTGATATATGTGTATAAACATACAGTTCCATGTATACGTCCGTATGTTTTAAATCATTGCGATACCTGCTTTGGCCTTTTACCTGATTTAATGGCGGTCAATGGACGATGTCTAGCACAACTGAAACACGCGACAGCATGATTATTGAGATGTCGTAGTTACAATTTGAAGCCTTTGTTGAGCGATGACTTTATCCAATACAGTTACGATGAGACCGAACGTCGATCACCGGTTGTGCACCAAAAAATATATCTTTGGGACAGTCCCGGATGAAATATCCGAAAGCCGGTTCGTCGTCCGCCCGTCGCGCAGTGTGAACCGTTGGCAGGACCAAAAGAGGCGCGATCTGTTAACGGCCTGAAACATTAGCGCACATCTAAATGACCTACATCGGACGCGAACGGGCGCCGACGCTCGTAACCGAATCGGGGGCAGCTAATAAAATGATGATCTCATGGGACGCGGGAATTTATCGTCCGCGGCGGAGTTACCGACTTTAATTGCTTTTATGGCGTTATTTCATCTCGAAGAAGGGAGGACGTGACCGGAGAGAGATGTCACGTTCTCTAAATAATGAAGAGCGCATTATTCGACGCCCCACACACCTCTCACCTGCAATTCGCAGAGACGACGCTTCTCTTTTGTGCCAAAATACAGTATCCCTAATGTCGTAGCTTCGAGTGTATTTCCAGTGACCGAAGTTCGCAATGGCACATCTAAGTGCCAACTCAAACCGAACTATGAGTATCATCCAGTCCTGAGGCAGCATTTAATCATTAAATTATCCATTATCCATCTCGATTCAATGCTTCGCAATGTTTCCAATTATTCATTAACGCTTCTGCGGTGCAATTGTGCGCTCGTTGTCTTCGGCTGTATTCGAATCGTGACAGGGCACAAAAGGCTCATCGCTGGAAATTGTATGGCTTCCTTACTTACAGTATACTGGTAAAACATGCTCGTAAATAATTTGAAACCAAATATACAGCGACCCGCGTCGTTGTTAGCTCGCTTTTCGTCGGAAACCCGAGAAAACGTACCTCCTATAATATGTAACGTACAATGAATTGTGTATGACGCGGATTCGCCCGCTCTCGTACATCCGACGACCGTTTCGAGCAACGAATAATATTCCTCTGCCCTATCTTCCTACTTGGAGGGGAAAGGTATAGCGCTTCTACGATATGCTACATTTATTCTTCACTGAGGAATATGACTCGCTTTTGGTTCTGAACGAATCGTTTTGACAGATCTAAGTGGCACAGCTGGACAAAGAACAATCCTTTCGAAGCGCCCTTCGGTCGGCGTCCAGACATCGAAGAGATCGTCGAAGGCCTCGCGAGCGATAAACATATCGACGGGAATCTAGGACAGAGATATGCTACTGATGTGTTATTACGCCGAAGCGATATTTTTGCACCATTCGCCTCGTTCAGTCTCGCTTTCGTCTTTCGCGTGTTTGGGTTTGATGTACAATGTGCTTCCAGCGTTAGTTATACGAAATCTCTACGTTTCTACATCTGGTGCAGATACATTCTTTTTTATTTCGCCAGTGATGGATTTTACTATTAAAGTAACATAATAATTCAATAATGCGTTATTACGACCGTACGTCCGTACGTATTTACGGGACAGCCATTTTTTAGCCCTGCGTTCGTGTAGCATTCGAGTGTTGTCATTCGAGTGATTGAAATTATCGATACTGTCGCAAAAATGGTACAAAATAAAAACGAAGACTGCTTTATCGAACTGTTTTCACTCCTCTGCGATCAAAGTAAATCGTTCAAAGACGGAAGAATTCGACAGAGAATTAAAGGTGAGTCGAAGGCCCTATTCTATAATTTCGAAGAAAACTTCAACGCTTTTTGACCGGTCGAGCGCGGTGCACCGACTTCAAGGCTGCGACGGGGAAATACTTAGTTGACCGGGAACACTATATCATACGGGACTTTGCTTATATCTCATTTTATTACATGTATTATAATTTGACGGGCTGGTTGCTCGGGTCCAACACGTTTCTAAGCAAATAATATAATTGCTTTCTATAGCACGTTGGACTACATCAACAAAACATTTATTCTGGATTTTAAAGTTGTAGGAATGTCGAAGTTCGGATCTCGAACTCCAAAGTAGGTCGACGGCGCCGTTCGGTCTCGTGTTATGCGGCCGGGTTATTTCAACTTCCATCGAGTCAACCACACGCCGTCAGTCCTCTTCGGTTGTAACAGCTTCTTGAAAACGTGTACTAATCGTGTACGTGTACCGACAATGAATATACGGGGGCAGAAATTTTCATTGAAATTCAAGCAACGTTTACTGCAAATAGAGAACCGGTGCCGACCTACTTAGTCACTGTCTTATCTGATTCCCCGAGTGACATTGAGAGTGGAAAACAATTTTTATCGCCAATAAATGCAATGATATACCTTTATACGATTTTACTGATACTTCGATCGCATCCGCTTCCATCTATAAATGAAGGCGCTGATTGTATTTTAGGAATATAAATAATCGTATCGTCAGCCTTCACCTACAGTTTCCTATTATTGCTTTATTTCGTTGGAATACGACTAGGTCGCAACGAATTAGTTAAGGAAAATCGAGTGATTCGCCATCGTTTTCCGAACAAACATTATCAGTAGTTTCACCTAATTGTTGGTGCGGCTTATCACCGATAGGCTACGGAGACAATTGATAACGACTCGACAGTCGACCGCTATACGTATCTCGGAGCGCCGACAGTAAAATGATGTTTTAGTTTCAAAATTAAATCTACTACTAAACTATCGAAACACTATACGCGCCCTATCGCGACGTAAATGTATTCAGTCTGTGTTCGTGTTTTATCTGTGCCCGGTTCAAATTTATGTGGCTCTCGCTTTGTTATTTGAAAACGAGAGCCCCGAATAGAATTCACCGTGTTACGCGAATGTTTAATTTCGGAAATATATGCGAGAGTATCGTTTGAGATTCGATATGGTGCGGGGCAGTCGAAAATGCCGATGAGTGCTTCGTCCAGCGCGCGTAAATCTGAGCAGAATGAGGAGCATCTGGACGGAATGCCTGAACGCAGCGGCCAGCCACCCCTTTCCGTCGCTGCCGGGAGATCTGCTGCCGCCCTTCGACGTAGACATTAATGATGAATGTTAGTAGTTCGTGCGCAGAAGTCGGTTCTTCTTTCCGCATATTTTAAAGACGGCCTTCGTATGAACATTAAAGTTAACGTTAATTACGTTAACACAGGGGAGTATTATTTAGTACGGTTTAATGAGAGAAAATTTCTACATCATTACATTAATGATTTCACGGCCTCATTAATCAAATATGTTTTAGTATGCATTTTAAATGCACGTTACTCTTGCGATGAAAAATGTTATGATTGGCTGCCACAAACGCAGCGTAAAGATCTACGAGTCCTCATCGAACCGAAGACATCGGACGTCGCACGTGTTATCTGCACTGTGCCTTTCAGGTTTACCCGGCGGCGCAGATGAGATAGCCGACCAACCTCGAAGACGTTATTATCGATAAAAGATCGATATTTAAATTAAAATCACGCGCAACATCGAATCGATACTATTGGATCGAGATAAAACAATCTTATCTAAACGACCAGTCACAGGAATGTTATCGTCGCGGACGGAACGTGTTTCAATTAAAAGAGGTTTATTTAAATGATGTGAATGAAGTTCGGAGTCGGGAACGTAGATATGCGGATGCCTTCGCTCTCCTGGGGCGAGTGCTGGCGCGAGTGCGCGTGGCGAACTGTGTACTGCGGGCTGAGTGCGTGCGAGAGAATGGCGAGCACGCACGCCGTGCTGTCGCCGATCTTTCCCCCGCTAGATGTCGTCATTGCCGCTCCCACTGCGACATGCAGACGTACGTATTGTCCCTACTGTCCACGGCGAGGCACGATCGGCATCCGCTCGGCGATCCTCCACAACAAATTGAGTAGCCTTTATACTCTTTACTCTCTGGGTTATTTCTCAATTTAACACATACGAGTGAGTGAGCGCTTAACTTCGATAATTCTTATTATTTTAGTTTTAACTTCCTCAGGGTTATATTCTCATTTATCAAACCAGTAAATACTGCAACTAATCTTCATCTAGACCAGCAACGATTTTATCGTTCTGTGTGCAATTTTTTCTGTAAGCGTAAGTTTATCACTCGAAAGCCTCTCTCCAACACCTCAATTATTCCTGACGCTACACTTAACAATCCAAAGTCGATCGCGCAACTTGTTTAGATGCTATATGGCCGGATCGCCTACCCTCAAGTGAACTCCGACAATCATTTTCTTAAAATGCTTCTGGCATTATTAACTGCCTTTGACGAGAAATCTGTTTAAAAGTTTGAAGTAGTTCCACTACGATCCCCACAGTTCCTCCCATCTTCCCACTCCGCTATTAGGTTCAATTTCCGACAAAAATGTTAAATTGATCACAAAAGAGCCATTATTAGTATAATATTAATATGTAATTGTTTTGAATCCTCCATCTGTCTCAATTATTGGCAACCTTTAGTTACGGGGCTCCACTTGACCAGCGTCGCACCTACCACCTACTACATTAAATTCGCTTCGTCGAAGCGTAACTTAATTACCTGCAATCAAAACATGGTTCCATCTATGCGACAGAACTGAATGGCTTAAATAAACACGACCTGTTATTGAATTGATTTCTGTATTTGCTGCTAAGTTGGAGAGTAGTTTAGTTAGTAGTTTTAATCCTCGCTCGCCCATCGCACATAGAATATAGTTATGCAAGCCTGTCGAGCCTTTCCGTATTATGAAACGTCGTCGTATTTAGGTCTCCTCCCGCTTTTGGGTCACGACGAGAATATTATTTTGTGACCGACGCTCGCGCATTGTCTGCGCTCGAAGCCATACGTTGTGTCCAGCCGAACAAATAAAGGCGGACGCGCACCGTAAGATATTACATCCGCCGCGCATCGATCGAAAAGGCAATTAAAAGTTTCGTTAAAAAATTTAATTTCAGCGGGCACTCGGGGAAGACGAGGGCGCTTTTTATTCATAACTTCCTGCTGTATAGGGTTGCCTTTTTATTTCAAGTCTTTCTGTAGCGTCTAAAAAGCGAGTTACTATAATTCTCCGGTAAAATATACGAATATACACGTCGTAACAAAAATATACGGCGTTCGTGAGTTATTATTATTGGTCTGTGAGGGCGCAGCGACGATGCCCCCGAACGGCTCGAACAGAATTTGTAGTCAACGTTAACAGCTAATGTCAGAATAGAAATAATATATATCTTTTTTAATCTTCGATTTGAAGTATCACGTATTCTCTGTTCCATCTGCGAGGCTCGAGCCAACTGCGAGTGTCATTAATGAGAACTTGGCTTTTGTGAAGCTGAGAGCACAATATTTTACAGTGGAGTTCCATTCCAAGTAGTTTATTAGGGCTGGCGGGCAGCGACGGCCATTTGGCAGAGCCTGCGCGCGATAGCCTTATAGCGGGGTGGCCGGTTTCTACGAAATCCTCGAGCTCTCGCAAAATTCGAGTATGTAACGTAAATTTAATGAAAGAAATCAAAAGTGTCCAAGTCGTCTATTGTCACCCTACACTTGACCCGCGTTAAAACTGCGAGGAACTCGTTGCGTGAATTTCTTTTTAAGAAATCCCCCTATCGCCATTCTGATTTCTTGTCGTTTCCGTGGCTCGCTGCGGCCCGGAGTGATTAAAGTTTTGAAAGCACTAGTTAACTGGAAAAGGGGTTTTTGTTTCCCAAAATATTTCATTCGCGGTTCGAGCGTTCCCTTTGTTCCGAATCATTTCAAGTATTTTAATAACAAGAGGATTTTAATATTATTTATTGTGGTATATTTGCTCAATTCACCAATCATCGATTCTGACAAGGCGCTTGATGTGTTTCGATAACCCTGAATGTCGCAAGGCGCGTTAGCTTGTGTCCGAGCCGATGTGAAAATTGCTAAGTAGCCCTACGAGCGGCCACGACTGAACCGAGGCGGTGAATCAAAGCCACCTCGAAAATATTATCAACGAGTTAAGCGCGTCTTTGTAAACACCGTAATTGACTTGAAACCGCAAAGCGACACGGCGTTTCGTAGGGTAGTCGAAAGAAAACTTGTTAAAGTAAACCTATTTATTAGTCGGCTAAGAAGCATTTTCGCCGAATAATAGACAGCCATTAAAGAGTCGTCACGAAAATTCTTTTTGGAGTCGACGATAATACTTTGCCACAAAAATAACATTTATTGCATTCGATCAACATTACACAAAGCCTGCTGTTAACCAATAATATAATCATGTACGTCTTAGGTTAAAACTATAAGCTAATTAATAAATTGCGTAAGGCTTTCACGGCCATCGTTCAGCATATCATTGTCTTTCGGGCTGTTCGGCCGACGGGAGTGGGAAGAGGTTCTCGATGTTTCGCCATCACGTGCGGACGGCATCGTCAGGAGATGTTAACTCATCGATAGCTTGCAGAATTATGTTGATGCTCACGTCGACCGAACGGCCCGAAAGACAATGATATGCTATAAGCTAATTGTTTACTTTTTTTTCATTTCTCTCATCTCGTTTATTCACGACTTGATAGAAATAAATGGAGACAACTTATTTCATAAGAAAGTCCATAAGAGCAGACCTCTTACAAAAACGCATATGACAGATCGTGTATATGTGCCGATTTATGTAACAATATGTTGCGGGGAGGGTGTCGTTTGTCGTGTTTGAGAGTCATCGATCTGCTTTGCGAAACTTGGAGAGAACCTTTTTATTGTTTCATTAGTATCATCCGACTCCTTACCGTAGCATTACTTACGCGATAAGGTTACTCGGAAACTTCAATAAATTGATGAAAAAAACAGACAGACGATAATTTGTCATTCTTTAACCTAAAAAGAATCGTAAGCAAACGGCAGCGATGTCATTTGTCGACAATCGAGCTCTTTGTTCACTTAATTGTCCCAGATCGAGATAAGAAAAGAAGGTAAGACGAGAGCCCGAAATCGTCCGATCCGATCTTGTTCGTTTGGAAAGCGACAGCAGAGTGCCACTCTCGGTGAAACTTTAGCCGATTTGCGTTAGAAGCGATCGAAATAATGTTATGCACAACTCACTTAGCGTCTACGAAACATCTACGACGCACGTGCAGGTTGCGCGTAGCAGTCATACAACAATCGTTCTTCAACATTGTCTATTTCGTTAGATTTAAGTAAACTTACTCCTATTTTTATATAAATACACTGAGTGAATCGTTCGGATACATTTTGCCTGCAGAGACAGAATCTTTAATTAGAGACTTTTTCGTTTTAGCGTGAATTCCTCTTTTAAGTATGTTCAGTCTACCTAAATAGATATAGAAGTTTAAAACGCCTTAAGAATAATAGAGAGGATTCGCAAACGTCCACTGCGCTACGTGTTTTTATTGCTTTTGCTTTTGCTTTATCGTCTGGTCGGTTGAATGGCTTCGCTGCAACCGAAACTTAGAAAGCAAATGCATAGGACGCGATAAGTGGATCTCGCGATAGCCTCGTCGAGAAGCATACGTGACGTCTCTCACACGCCTCGGGGCTGGAAATGAGATTATTATTATTTCACCTTCAAGGTGACTATACCTACTCGCATTTGCCGATCGTTAACGTTCATAAAGCACCGAGATAAAACACAATTCTCTTGTAAACAGAAAGTAATGAGAAAGTAGGAAGAATATCTTTCGAGAGTAGAACTTAGGCCGCCGGTTGTTTGCCTGGAACACATTAAACAGATTGCAAAGTTTCTCTTTTTCCTCGTTCTTTCTATAATTAACTTTTTCTATTACGAGGCTTCCGTCTCTTGTGAGATGCAGCTATCAGAATTATTAACTTCTCAAGTCCAGTTTATGTCGTCCGCTTCCCTGGACTAAAAGGAATCTAATAATAATCGAAATGTGCTGTTAACCATCGTAATTCATTCGACTGAGGGATATAAAATCCATAAAATAATTACGCAACAAAAAAAATACGAAAAAAAAATTGGGGCTTATCGAAATTAAGCGATCGTTCGTAGTATCGACGTTGACATTAAGAATGAAAAATTTAAACATGTTTTTTTAAACATGCATACGTATGAAAAAATCAACCAACCGCCGGGAGACCGCTTAAAAAGTTTTATTCCAGTAACACTTCCACGAAAGCAATATTGGTATTGTATCACCCGGAGTGCTCGGAATCGGAGGTCTAATTGAAAAACGTCTCGCCCCGGTCCGGGCGACGTCCGTAATTGGCCCACCGCCGCGAGGGCTCTCGATAACCCCAGCCGCCCAGCATCACAACTCGCAGAAGACAATTCACATGTCAATGAACCTCGGAGGCTATACTCGTAAAAATGAAAGAGTAGTTTATAATAAAAACTTGGACCGTTTAGAGCTATTTGGATTATTATTACGGGTTAACTTGTCTTTCACAACTTTGTGTTGCCTTTACTCAAATTTTAAATAAATCGATTTCAATGGTAAACGATTTTCTTAATCGACTAACTTATTGAGTTTATTCGTTACTATAAATATTTACGATTGCTGTTTTCGTTTCAGTTTTCCCCAATGTCCCCGCCGCGCCTGGAATGCCTTGTGCCGGGGAAGACAGTAAGTATATGAGATTCGGGTTATGTCTAAAATATGAATATACTACTGACTAATTGCTAAAACTGAAGTAAAGCAGTAAACTGTCTCACTAAAACTGATTCATGGAATATGTTACATTCTTGTTTGAATAATATAGTTTCGTCGTAGTTTTTTATCCCTTTAGACTAACTGCAATATGAATAAACTGTGCCGGAGCCGTAAGCAAAGCGTTGCGAATTATTCAAGACGTACGTTGATGTAATATGTAAGTGGTGAGAATGAGAAAATGTCACGTATTCTAGGTCAAAGTCAGGTTTCCGGGGACCGCTCTTTATAAATGAGACCTTCTCGAAGAGGGCACAAGTCGAATCTTTTACGCTTTGTTCGGCTGCCGTTCCTCCCGAACCTTCCATTTCGTTAAACCCTTGTGATTACGTGCGGTGCGCTGTTACAGGAAGCATATACAGGCGAGGCGCGCGGCGCTGGCGGAAGCTCTATCGCGTCAACGGACACATCTTCCAGGCGAAGCGCTTTAATAGGGTAATTCTTCGTTTATTTGCGGAACCTTTAAATAACTCGCAAAGCAGAATTTAGAATCTTCGCATATGATTTCAGCGAGCCTTCTGTGCCTTCTGTCAAGATCGTATTTGGGGCCTGGGGCGGCAAGGCTTCAAATGCATTCAGTGCAAGTTGCTGGTGCACAAGAAGTGCCACAAGCTCGTGCAGAAGCCGTGCTCCAACGAGCACGTGGACCCGATCGAGGTGAAGGACGACGCCAACGGAGAGAGCGCGCTCGGCAGAGCTCCGTCTGTCAGGTGAAGTAGTTTAGCCGAGTCGCCTAACTGACCTAGTGTTGAATGAGTGTGTAGCTCCGCAATAGGGTCGACCTGGGATTGTAAATCTTTTCTATACAAATCCATTTTAGATAAAAAAAATTACCATACAGATAGGTCTCGAACCGGCATCCACAGCGTTGCGAGCTGTTGCTCTAACCAATTGAGCTACCGTGTCCTAGATGTCTTCGCGGAATTCTTTCAACCTCTTGATACTCCACCTTTCGCACATTGTAATTTCAACCTTAACACTTTTATATTAAGATTCAATATTTAACGTTTGCAGCTTAAGCTTTTCATAATGCCATCCTGTGAAAAATATTGAAGTTTTCAAACGTTAAACTCCAATTTCATGATATTCTTCAATGATTTTCTAGGGCTTCAATCTAAAATCGATTTTAATTTATTCTTGCAGATCTCGTGCGGACCCCGAACCCCCATTACCTGAGACTCCGCCGGCGCCGGTAGCACCGCCCGTCAGGAATGAGGATTTGGAGCCTGGCTCGCAACGCCAGTATTCGCTCGAAGACTTCGAGCTCATCAGAGTCATCGGGCGAGGGTCCTACGCGAAGGTAGCCTTCCTTCTATACTTATTATGTTGCTTTTCCTTTCGGCATCTTAATAGCACACGAATGATGACTATTACATGTACACGCTTCGTAACGGTGTTCAGGTGCTCATGGTGGAGTTGAAACGGACTAAGCGCGTGTACGCCATGAAAGTGATAAAGAAGGCGCTCGTGACGGACGACGAGGACATAGACTGGGTGCAGACGGAAAAGCACGTGTTCGAGACCGCTTCCAACCACCCCTTCCTCGTGGGCCTGCACTCGTGCTTCCAAACGCCAAGTAGATTGTTCTTCGTCATCGAGTTCGTGCGCGGCGGAGACCTCATGTGAGTGAGCCTCCGACGAGACCATTGCCAATTCGGAGAATTCGGTTCATCGATGACGTCCAAAATTTATTTACGACGCACCTTCCGATCAGGTTCCACATGCAGAGACAGCGGCGCCTGCCCGAGGAGCACGCGCGCTTCTACGCGGCGGAGATCTCTCTCGCGTTGCATTTCCTGCACGAGAGAGGCGTCATCTACCGGGACCTGAAGCTGGACAACGTGCTCTTGGACCACGAAGGGCATATCAAGCTCACCGACTACGGCATGTGCAAGGTACGTCTGGAAATATTGTAAGCGCAGAGTTGCAGAGGCTGCACAAGACAGCACGGTCACTGACGACGTCTTTTCAGGAGGGCGTGAGGCCGGGCGACACGACCTCCACCTTCTGCGGCACGCCAAACTACATAGCGCCGGAGATCTTACGCGGGGAGGAGTACGGCTTCTCCGTGGACTGGTGGGCTCTGGGGGTGCTCACGTACGAGATGCTGGCGGGGCGCTCGCCCTTCGACATCTCGCACGCCGCCGACAATCCCGATCAGAACACTGAGGATTACCTCTTCCAGGTGAGTCTTCCGACTCGAGTGCACCGGGCAATAGAAAACTAAGATGAAAAGAACTTAACTAATATAAGGATAATCAAATTACAGGTGATATTAGAGAAGACAATTCGTATTCCGAGATCCCTATCGGTGAAGGCGGCGTCGGTCCTCAAAGGCTTCCTCAACAAGAATCCTGTGGAGCGACTCGGCTGCGGCGAAACCGGTTTTCGGGATATCGTCAACCATCCGTTCTTCAAGAGCATCGAGTGGGAGATGGTGAGTTCAGTTCCGTTAAACTCGTTCGGGAACGGAAACGAAATGGGCACCTTAACTTCTTACCCTCGTCTATTCCGCAGCTCGAGCAGAAGCAAGTGGTCCCGCCCTTCAAACCGCGCTTGGAAGGAGAGCGGGATCTCGCCAATTTCCCGCCGGAATTCACCGACGAGCCCGTGCACCTCACGCCCGACAACGAGTGAGTCTTACGTTGCGACACAATACGAGCGTGCGTCGCTCGAACTGGTTTTCAAGCGACGATTCGTGTTTCAGCACCGAGATAGCGGACATCGACCAGTCCGAGTTCGAAGGGTTCGAGTACGTGAACCCGCTGCTGATGTCGTTGGAGGACTGCGTGTGACAACACGCCTGTCTGCTGCACCCATACCACGACCACAAGCAGGTAAATCATTTGTCTTCTTAAGGCCTAAACTTTCCAACCACCAAATGTGCGCCAAATGAGGAAAAGTACTACAGACGCGATCGCATGTCCACAGGCGTACGGGTACGGCGCGGAATCGTCTTCGTCGGACTACGATTCCGTATGTTCTGAGCGGCCTTCGCGGAAGCCCACGCTGCTGCAGCACATGTTCTGCTTGCCGCTCAACTGACGCACCACAAAACCAACCGACGCACCCGACAGAGATTCGGCTTCGACCTCGACGCGACAGCATTCCGACGACGCGAAGTCCGCCAAACGCGTCGTATCGTCCGATGCCGGCGTTTTGTGAAATGTTGCATTCCTTTTCCCTTCTCGTGTACTTAAATAGTGCCTAAACACTCCGTGAAATATTTGGCGATCGACGGACACACAAATTGGCCGATTGTAACATACGTTGTTAGTACATAATGTATATTGAAAGCGTATTGTATTGCTGCGCGTTACCCGTTGTTAGTCGATAACTCTCACGAAAACGCTTCATGTACATAACGATATACCCTTAGTCGACGTCGGGCGTTCTATGAGGACGCGACGACTTGTAAAATATATTATTTAAACAAAATATTCTAAAGCCTAAGTATTAAAGAGGGCGGTCGATTCGACGCTAATGAAGAAAAAGTTTAAAAATTAATAGTCTTCAAGCAATAATGTAATGTATTTTAGTCGATAAAAGCGGGCGTTCCGCTCTGAAAGGCACGTAAGGAATTAAAAGTAGCGACTAACTCTATGCGCCGGCGCATGCCTCTCGCCGCGGAGTCTAGTATTTTTAGATTAAAGCTAGGTCTTTAGCTGCGTCACTAGCTATAAATGTGATGTAATTATTACAATATATCGGATATTATCGCTGACGGGCGAGCCGCGAAGCCCACGTCGGTTCATCACTCCACTTCGAGACGAGCGCTAGAAACACATTTCGGCTTTAGCGTGCAATGACCGATGTCAAGTTACAATTAAAATTGAATGACGAATGTTGAACGCGATCAATGAGACGACGCGGTCGCGAACGTTGGCGAATGGTGCATCCCGGCGTCGAAGGAATTCGGTTAGCTTAGCATAGTGGATATACATACCTCATTTAATGATACGTTACTTCGGCGCGAATCGTGCGCACTAATAAGATAATCCCTTCCTATTAGCTCGTTTTCTCCTCCGCTAGTGAACGCATTCGCGCATTTTATAATTATTCGTAATGTATTAATGAGCACTGATATGAAATCTAAATGTATCGTTAACGTAGGGCGAGAATCGTCGCCGTAACCGTTCGTGTACCCTATCGCGAGTTCCGCGCGGACGTCCACATTATTCTAAATAGAGTGTAGATCCTATCTTAGATATTTTGCACGACTTTTAGTGGTTTTCCCCTCAGTATGAGATGAAGCGTCGCCCGTCGTCGGTGCGTCGTCGTGTCCCACGCGCTGCTCGTGTTCCGTCGTCACGTCACGTCGGCGAGTATTTGAACGGCATTCGAGTAATCATAAGTATTAACTTTTAGTTTAAGTGGGCACTCCGTGTTATGTTTGTGCTGGCGCGTCCGTTACGTTATCGGCAGTCATTCGTTTGATTCGTCATGACGCGATTGAACCGTTGTAGAACAAAAGCTGTATTCTATGTTGTGTAGCGACCCGGAAGTTGATATTTTATGTTCTCTATGTTATTCTGGTGTACGCATATATTGAAACACTAAAATAATGTTACTCGTTACGATTAAAGTCTAGGCCCACTAGACCGACGCCGCCGACGCGTCGAAAGCGGTCCAGTGGGCCGAGACCTCGGTTGGAACCGCTCGGGGCGCGATTGCGACTTAATGTAAATTAAACTGGAGGACTTGAAATACTGTACTATTCTATGCTTAACGAAAATAAAGAAGATTAATCAGAAAGGTGTTTGTTTTCGATAAAACTAATTCGTCTAAAACTTTTCGGACAATAATGTAATATCAATCAGCTAGCTATAGCCATTATCTATTAGTTATGTTGAGTAAAGCTATTATCGACTTTCCATTAAATACTCCACATCCTACAGTATAAGTCGTCTTTTGACCCTGGATTCTCCACATCTGTCCACACAGTCGGCCGAGTATGCAAAGTACAAAACCACGTCAGTCTGGACTAAAGAATTCGACCGCCTTTAGTTGAAATCAATCGAAATTAAAGCATAATAGTTTTACCTCCTACCTCCTGAATCTTGTCAGCCATACCGTCCCCCACATCCACGTCACACACACGGTTAACTTGTCCAACAAACGACAACTGCAGCCACATTGTTTTATTCGGCCGTTGTGCTACAAGCAATCTAACTCTGCTACCAAAATCTTTGTGTCATAGATACGTGGCATGCTGGTTCATTATTTTTATTATTAGTTAATTATACAAGGTTATTCCTACTTCGTGCGAAACCTGAAAGTAGTTTGTTCAGAGTCAGTAGCAGAATCCATTACAATAGTTTTTATACCACGTAAAATTTTTTTTCAATATTATATGAAATCTTGGACACCGTTCGATAAATCAATTCCTACACAAGTCTATCTAAATAGGTATAAAAATTCGGGGAAGCCGCGGCGGCTGCTCGTCGCTTTAAACTAACCGCTACCGCGCGCGCGCCACCCGCTCTCTTGTCTACTAGAGTCAGCGCGTGCGCAACCCTTTCGCGGTGATTACGTAACAACTTTCTTCCGAATTGCAAGGAAGCGATTGCGCATCCCACTGGCGTCTCGTCGTCGTTTCGCGGTGTTTTTTTTAAGCGTGTTAATTACAAACATGTTTTACAATTATACCAATGTACAATATGTGGAAATGGTGCGAACACTTGCTTTGTGTGGTGATAATTTTGCCGAAGCAGTGAGACGTTATCATGAACAATTTGGCATCTTGGTATCATGGAACTCAATGCTGTACGTGTACAAATACGAGACCATGGCCAGTTCAGACCAGTCGCAGTAGATAGAGGCGAGGAGATTATTCAACGTAAGTCAGTCTTACGTGTGGTGGACTCTAAGGAATTACCAATACCTTTATCATTTATTAATTTTGATTTTTTATCCTGATTCTGCGAATAAAAAAACGTTTGACGTGTTTCAGCTTTAGTATCAACAAATAATAACATTGTATATACGTAGTTACTACTTAGGCATTTCCTACTCACTCGAGTGACAAAAAAGACTTTACTAGCCCGCACTGATGTAATGCGGCCGTCGTTACGGGCGCACTCAACAACCCTAAGGGCCTCGGAACGTAGGACGTAGGATACTTACAAAGTATAGCATAGCAGCGACAAATAGCTATATAATGTACAATTCCATAATGAAACACTAGATGGCGTCATTTATAAATTGTTTCTGTTTTGAGACAAGCATACATACATGCCTTTGTGTTAGATAGCTTATGTACCATAGGTATTTCTCTTTTCGTAAAAATACATACGTTTTAAAAAAGTAGTGAAATCAGGAAAATACAATCACACAAACATTAAAAGTAAACTCTGACTTTAAAATATATATAATAAACTGTTTAATAGAAGAATGTTTAATAGATTCAACTCGAACCGGACAGGCGTCTCAAACAGAAAAACAATGGCACAGCCTCCGGCCAATTCATAATCGAACAATTTGTAAATAGCCTTTATTCTTACCGGTTAACATTGCTTTAAAATATTTATTCACAAAAATTGTGCAATATCTTTCCTAAAAAATACAATATATTCATTTGAACTATAATATGTCGCCTAAGTAATTTAAAATAATACTGGAGTAATACGCTGGTATGTCAGTAAATGAGGTTACATTTTTGTGCTAAGAACTACAAAATAGTAGAAGCGGTGACTCCGTTAGTTTCAGAAGTGTTGGAAAACTTAATTAAGTAACCCCTAAATGACATTATAAGCACTTAAAGGAAAAAAATGTCACATGGACACTACTGGTCGCCGTTCTCGTGCGCCAGCTTCTGCTTCTTCAGCGGAGGAGACGCCGCGAACATAGCGCCGGAGCGCAGTTCGGACATCAAAAAGGGGACCTGAAATGGAAATCATAACGTCGTAGAAACGGCCGACCGCTTCCAATGCGAGACACAGTTTAATTTATATTTGTTGGAAAGCGTCGTCACCTTGTGCTCGAGCTGCATGTGGGTCGCGGGCGGCAACGCGAGACAGGCGCGAAGGATGTTGTCGATGCAGGCCCGCTGCTTAAAGAGCGCATTAACGACCGGAGTGCCGGGCGGCACCAAGGGCGCCTTTAGCAGGTACGCCAGCGGGGACAACACCGCGTGCATTCCGCTCCACTCTGAAACATCGAGACTCCGTTGGGCGCTGGCGCAATATAGACGCTTTAACTAGGATCGCAATAAACTTACCGTCAGTCGCCTGCCTGCGGAACGAGACCCGAGCGAACAGCTCGGCCAACACCACCAGGTCCAGGATCAACGGAACGGCCAGCAGAGAGTCCTCGCAAGTGTTGTGCACTACGATCGTATTAGTGCCGTGGAGCAGGATTTCCGAGGTGTATTCGTCCATGGCGCGTTTCGAGTCCCCTAGCGATAAGTTTATTTCTTAGCCGATTTCGTTACAGAAAAGATGACAATTTTTTGCTTAAACGAAAGTTAGAAGTAAAACAAAATTTAAGGACATACCCACATACGGCACATATTTGATAACCACCACGTGATCTGGCTTTTCACCTTGGGCGTACAGAATGCGGTTGGACTCCACCATGTCGTCCACTACATTGCTCTTGGTTATCTGTGCATCCAACGAATAACATAAGGTCAATAGCCCACGCGGACAAGCTTAACTTAACTGCTAGTACAACTGGCGCCCTGTCAGCTGATGACTCCGAGTTTAACGAACACTCACCTCCTTGGACCGGAACTGCTTGGGCGCCGAGAGATTCTTGCCGTCGTTGTTTCCTAAGTGGTTGTAGCTTACAATGGACACTGGCTTTAGACCTGAAAGAAACATCGGTCATTTGTCAGTACCGCCATCGCGACCGGTGTCCGATTGTCGGATGTGAGACGATTACCGGCAGACACGAGGAAATCCACGAGCACAGACTTCAGCTTGGTCTGTCCCGACTTGAAGTCATCGCCCGCCACGAAGACGCCGCGTTTCTCCGCGCGCTCCACTACTCCCGCCACCAACGTGTTCTGCGGCGAGCCGTTGATGTAGCAACACTGGCAATTCGAGAGATCATGTTTATATGAGGTTAAATTGAATTACAATATTTTGATAACATAGTTAAATATTACTCACGCCCTCGTCGATAGCCGCCAACGCAAAGATCGTCGAAGGAGATATCTCCGGATCGTTCGCCCTCAGAGCCTTCTCCAAATTCACGTCCGAGTCGTGCACGCCGGGCTTCACTTCGCAGAACCTGACCGATCGAGGACAAAAAAAAGCAAGATTAACGAAAATATCGCATCGAAGAGTTAAGATCGAGCGAGCCCCTCTCACCTCTCGGTGTTGGCCGTCCACAGCACGATGACCTTGTCGAGGTCGTTCTCGTCGCGGAAGTCCTTAATGTCCGCTCGAATCTGGAGGTACTGCTCGTAGCGGGTCCCGCGGATCAGATTTGTCGCCCGATCCGCCTCGCAAGAGATAAAGACGTTTTACACTAGCTTCATTTATGTCAATCGTCGTTCATATCGCACGATCGCCAATAAACACGATACATCGCCGAGTCGCGAGGCTCGAGACAACTATTTCTAAGATCCGAACTGCTATTCGGAATTTCCTTAGAATACCAAAGAAAGAGAAAGGTGACCTGCATTTCAGCGTAGTAACCGTGCTTTACCTCTCTCCCGAAAGATTCTCTGGGTATTGACGCACAGGATTTAATTGGTAGTTATTTTCCAAGTGTGACAGAGTATCGACCGTGTCCCTATCTACTGAAAATCCTGTTGCGTACATAAGGTCCTATCTGAACGGGCAAACTTCGCGGCGAACAGAATAGCGCGGGCGCGAGCATAATTAAGTAGTAGCCATTCTATCGGCGTGCCTGCATGTATGGAAATTTTCCAGCAATAGAGGATTTGCGACTTCGAGCAATTGATTACTTCAAGGTGATGGTCGTTTTCGATGAAGACAAATATTTCATACTATGTAGAGAAATTGAAAATGTTACGTCGCTCCAGCACGGAGTGAGACCTAGTAACTTTGGGCAACTCACTTATCTACCCCAGTACGAAATGCCGTCTACTTAATACGTTGTATAGATAAATAAAAATGTCAAGCTAAAGTCGATGCCTCTTTGTAGTGACTACCCACTACAAACGGCTCCAGTCGCCGCTCCCTTAGACTAAATATTAGAATAGAATTAATATTTAGAATTAATATTATGCATCTTTAGTCTCCGATCGCTCCACAATAGAGTGAAACGTGCAAAATGTACAAACACGGCTTCCGGATGTCGGCTATCGAATATCGCCGACGAATGTTTTCGAAGAATCGCGTCGAAACTGGAATCCATTTCTTCATAGGGTACATTGAAGCTTGGTTTACTGAGTACAAAAGTGGTCGCTAGCTCCGTTTCGATAAATGTCACATTGATATTATTACCATTATAAACAATAGCTAACAGTACCGACGGTGCCGACTATTAAGTCGTCCACCCCCTTCCGATTGCAGAATGCCTCCGGAGATTGAGGAATATAGGTCGGCTCAAGGTCGACTCCCGACCTCACCTAACGCAATTGGTTGGAAGGTGGTTGGAAGGTTAAAAATAACGATCGATCTATTGATTTCCGTAAAACGAGAGCGAATGTTTTCTTTCTTTCCTTCTTTCAAATCTGTCTGTTCAAAACGATTATTTTACGAATACCGACTTCGAAACAATGATGCAACAGTACACCTCACGCAGAAAGATAAGCCTTCGTCAGCGGTACGAAATATTTATATGTATTTACAATCTTCGCCCTAATCCTCGTCGTCAGCGTCGTAGTAACAGATGCATCACTCGCGCTCGGAATACATAAATGGTATCGACAGCATTAACATAGTCCACGTGTAAAATAATTATGTCGAGATGCGATTAACACGTGCCCCGTCTGCATCTATAAGCACTTCGGCTTCACTTCTAGAAGATAATGTAGAACAGAGAATGTGTTCGTGTTCGGTGAATAATGATTACCCGAATAAAACTTTCCATAGCTCAAATGACAAACAATCAGCACTCTCTACTGAATTGCTTACATTTTATTTTGTATTGCGCATTAATATGTTTCTAATCCGTGTTATATTTCAATGAGTTGAGCAAAATTTTTCCAAGTATCGATAAAATCTATTTTAACGCATTTCTTCCTTTAAAGCTTGATAAACTGCAATTTAATTAGAAATAAAATCATGCAACCTCTTTTATCAAATATATCAGCCATCGTCTAACATTCACAACAATTCCTATTGTCCAAATCCTGGAAGGTAATAAATTCTCAACTGTCATGCTTACCTGGTTTGCCGCAATAAAGTCTGGATCGTAGATAGCTGGCCTCGGCTTCATTGCAGACATTTCTTTCTTCAGCTTCATTTGCAGATCATATTCAATAACTTTGGCCCGCACCATGGATTCTGCCAGGTTTAATGGACTTATATCCCATCCGTCGATCACTAAAATTGTGCAGATAAATGAGTCAAGATTTAAAATGTGGCTTTATTTTGACAGATACCGCTAAAGGGTAACTTACCCAAATCATCTGGATGGACCATAGGTAGCACTTGTGACATACCAACAAAGACATCATTTCCTTTTTCATCCAGGCCTAGTCGCACCGTTGAAGCTTGTGTTATAGATCCAAACCTGGTTTTTATAATTTGAACTCAATTTACTTTATTTCAATTCAATTAGTGCAAGAAATTAATTGAAGCATTTTATAAAGCATAGCAATTATTATAGAGTAAGTATTACTTACCAGTTAGAGTCTAATTTTCCATTCCTAGTGTTCCAAGAAAGCTGATGTCTGTTAGCAAGCACAGCAGCGGTGAATGTGGAACCATTATTGCCCCCCCAGCCCACTAGCATAACACCCACCTTTCCTATTCTTCTGCCTGTCCTGATTTGTAGAGATGACTGGTACGGTTTTGCCTTGAGAAAAAGATAAGTAATCCTTTTTAATTCATTGTTTCCAGAAAAAAGGACAGCATATATAATTTAGGTTAGCTATAATAGTGATACAGCGGAATATAAATATAAATTTTCCAGGAAAATCTTCGTTCAACATCACGCCGGCAAACAGCAAGTATAATACATAGAAAATAACACAGATGTACTTGTTACAAATAAATAAATGATTTTACCACCAGGTCGTTCCCATTTCTGGTTACTAAAGTGTCTTTATATTCATAATCTGAATAAATAAAATCGTCGGTGTATTTTATATTCGGTGAAGAAACAATCAAGTTGCCCAACGTATCCATCACGAAGATTAAAAGGTAGCTCAAGAAATGTATAATATAGAAATACTTTTGTTTAAGTAAACGCCAAGTAATAACCCCGTTTTAATTATAATTGTTAAAGTTGTTTCCTTCAAAAATAATTTTAGCTGTACAAAATACACGTCAACCACCAACACGATCCCACAGATCACTGTGTCTTTTTTGACTTTCCCGCACTACCACTACAAAGTACCGACCGGCTTTGATTGGTGCGTTGTCTGGTTACGGCAAGGTACCACATTCTTATTGGTGATTTAATAATGCACTTAAGTAGGCACTTTTGAAACTAACAATTAATTTTTAATTTTAATCTTAATATTTTTTTTAATTTCAATATTTTGCTTACGAAATTAATTTACATGATTATAATGCACTATACTTAAAAAACTGTAAAACTAAAAAACTGCCATATGCAACAGTACACCACAGATGTATATAACTGTAAAGATTGACGTAGTGTCAGGGTCACATTTCTGACAATTTTAACATTGTCTATACTCTGTGTCAAACCACAGAAATCTTATTTAACGCACACAATAATAATAATATACTCTGTGGTGCGCTTATCATAATATATAAATTATTATAAATTTAAATAATATGGAGTATATTATAATAAAATGGAAACGATATGTTTTTAAATTTCATCTATGCATATTGCCTTAATTTTAAGTTTAACCTCGCTACGCGCGATTACAAAGTATTTAATATTTTCGTGAGATAAGATTATTATTATTTACGTATAATTGTAGGCTTGAACCTTCTACATCTTTAGCTAGCAATTCACTCGATTCATCAAATTGTTCCCATCCACGTAATATCTGTATATCTATGTTAATGCACTATGCAGTTATATCTGAAAAACAGATTCTATAATTCTATATATTGCAATAGAAAAAGCCAACCTCTGACTATTCAGATTGTGTAATGAAGAAATATTATTCATGCAACTGGTCATGCGCTCTACTCTCAGACAACCGACGCATGAATATAATAGTATAGTCAAATATATGTATATTTTAATATTTTAATTAAGTAATCAATTAAAGCATTAGCACATTAAACACATTCATACTATCCGCACCCGAACCCTCCTTCCCGAGTCCTGACGCCATGTAATATTGTTATAGATAGGTACGTTTTATAATGTTGTTTTGTTTGTAGAGATGCATTCTGCAGCAGGTACTTAAATGAAAGGATGGAATCTAATAAAAAGAAGACGGTTTGGATCCATCTATTACAACTATTGTCTATGTGTGAGTGCGTCTCTGTATGTTGTAAAGAGAGATTCAAGTACTTTTTACACACACTTCCCAGCCGACAATTTTATTATTAAGAAGAGGCCATAGTGGGCTGAAATTAAATTATTATATGAATCTCATTTGCACCGTCAAGTATCTATTAATTAGCAACGAATGATATCTATTTAAAATTTACAGAGTACACGCTTTCTACTAGACAGTGGTAACTTATGTTGCTTAGGTATGAGTTATATGCATAATAAAATCAAGTCTATCGAACCAGAGATGACGCTAGAAAAATGACGTTAGAATTAAAACAGCGAACAATTGACTAAGAACACATGTAAATGGCAAAGTTAGCTTATGAATGTACGTGCAGCGGCGTACATTTATAAAGTTGTATATATTTAATTAGGGTATAATAAAGCATGCGGGGGGGCGAGGCGGCGCGCCGCGCTCTCATATTCCGTATATTGATTGTGTGCGAGGGGGGCCGGGGCAAGGAGGGGGGCCACGGCGTGCCCCACTCTGTTTTTTACGACACGGCTTTCTGTGTAACATAATAAGTATTTAAAAAATTTTGTGAAATGTCTCGGGGTTATTTGTAAAAATTCGGGAAGTGGAAAATTGGAAACGAGGTGAGGTATTTTCGCTGCGTTGCTTATGGTCACAATTACAGTTTTACCGATTATAATATAAATAAAATTTTATAGCTCTAAATTCCGTCGGCGCGTACCCACTACCTACAGTATTACACTGTCATACCGCGTACGTATAGTGTTTTTTTACGGGCATCGTTCTAAAAATAAGTTGTAATAATTATAATTTTATGTAGCGGTCGCGGCGGTGAGGGGATTTCTGTCCATTTTAAAAAAATCGTGTTTCAAGTGAGTGATAACTAGTGTTTGTGGCGGTGCAGATGCAGGGGCTGGTGAGCGACAAGACGTTCCACTTAAAGTGGAACAACCACCTGCAGAACCTGAGCCAGCTGTTCACGACCATCTACTCGTCCTCGGCCCTCGCGGACGTGACGCTGTCGTGTCGCGATGGCACCCTCAAGGCGCACAAGCTGGTCCTCTCGGCTTGCAGCCCCTACTTCGAACAGATATTCAAGTGAGTCATTTCCACAAACACACATCCATATTCATAATTCTCGGAAATTGTAGTTATTCATCTTGTACATGTCCAATTTTTTGAGTGTGGAAACTTTTTCGTTACATAAACACTGTCTGAATTTGTTGTATATTCTCATTTGGTTAATAAATAATGTGTTGATAATTTGGGCATGGATAATTATTGTGTAGGGATAATAATTCATGTATTCATTGTGTAGGGACAACCCATGTCAGCATCCTATAGTGATTCTGAAGGGGATACCCTTCTCGGAGATCAATCTTCTGGTGGAGTTCATGTACAAAGGATCTGTGGACGTCCAAGAATTAGACCTACAGTCCCTGATGCACACAGCTTCAGAGTTGGAAATCCGTGGATTAGCATATGAAGCCAGAGACAATGCTGCGCAGTTACTCAATGTTAATCTGGAGTACCCATCTTATACGCAGACGTCCACCGCCTCTTCTGTGTCCACATCGCAAACATATCAGCAGTCCCGAACTGATGTAGAGAGATTAAAACAGGTAGGTCATTTGAAGTTCTAAGAATTTTTCTTTATTTGCATTTAATAACTAAGAAATGGGTGTATGATATTGTTTTAATGAATTCACACTTCTGGTCTGGTCTTGGATAGTTGTTGGTACCAAATTATTGGGTATCGATTGAAAAAATCTCTAGAAGATATAAATTAAAAACTCAATTTTGTTTTAAAGTGCACTGCCCAATAGTCAAAGGCTACATTACTACATTATTGTCTCCTCACCCCATCTCTTATGTATTCTTCCTGCTTTGCGCATAATCACTTTTATGTAAAAATAATTATGCTTTAAACTGATATGATAACATGTAATACTTAATGCTCTTGAAAATCATTGACACTAGGTGTGTTTTATTTGTTTGTAACTATTCTAAATTAAGTAACGTTAAGATTTTATAGTTTCTCGAATAGACAAGACATGTTAGTCTGATATGGATGCCAGAAATAAGGATTTTGTGATATTGTGTTAAATCCACTATTAAAACTTGTTGTTATGAGTGAAATAAATATATAATTCACTATTGTGTCTCAAATTTCACTACTTTATAAAAATAATGCAAAAGGACAACAAATATTGGGAAATACAATATCTATAAAGAAAAATCTATGTTCAAGCACATTTCTAAAAAGCATGGTGGCGATGACATTGGAAAAAAACACACTGTCTCCGAAACACCCAAACCAGACTGGGTAGTTTTAAATAAAACATTCATTGTTCGGCCCCAGTGATGCTAATGACCAGATTTATCGTAGGGAGGCCTCGCGTAGTTTTTTTTTTATTTATTTTGTACACCAAAACTAATATACAATACAATTTAAATAAATACCATAAGATACGCGCTGTATGCACCTTCAGTTAACATTAAAACCGAGAAAATATTATAATCAGGTGACGACACGTTTTCCCGTGAACTATTATCATTGAATAAACATTATGGCGCAACATTTTTTCGGATGTGAATATTTTCAAATTAAGTTTTTTTCAAAAGTAGTTCTTTTCATTGCGCTCGTAGACTTTACGGCTTTAGCCTCAGGACTGGTAAATTCAATTTAATGATGTAATGAGGCAATGAGTCACATTTCACGAATGGAATACTGTTCATATTATAACTACATTTGAATGTATAACAAAATAGTACATAATTTGTATGGTACACAAAATAACCTTCTGCACACATTTCTTTGCAAATCACAATAGTAAGCGTATATCTATCGGCATGCATTTGTGTAGGTATTCTACGAAATGATGAAGCCGATAGTAGTAGTAGTAGGTAGTAGTTCTAATGTTTAGGATAATTATGGGAAAATAATTGTTGTAAATGGAGTAAATTACGATGTCCATCCAGAAGCACAGGACACACAATGCAAGTATTGTTTCAATAAACAGAAATAATGTCGGGACGCCTCCACAGCACGTCGGCTAGCTAACGTTATCTTCTCGATTGTAATCTGTGAAAAGCGCGAAAAAGTGCGCACATTTGCATGTAAAGAGGTTAATTAGTGTTTGCGCGTAAATATATATATGTTTATGCTAATTTTACAAGACATTATATCGTTGTAACAATGAAAGTCGACTAATAACTTATATCCGAGATGCCGTAAGAGCTTAAATGCTATTTAAAGATCATCGTTCAGTAGCAGGGGTAGATGGCCAGTTCCGTAGCTTTCGACGTCGCGAAGGCGGTCAATGGTTTTATGCTCATAGTCATAGATGACGTCGAATATCCCAAAACTAAAATTGGGTATTTCGCTTGAGACAACTTTATTCGACCGCCCCGTGCGATAAGCCATTTTTTCTTTAAACTTTATTTTTATCTCGAGTTTGAAATAATATTTTTATTATTGCACTATAAAAAGAAGCCAATTAAAGTTTTAAAAGCATACATTTATGTTTTTGTGCGATAGTGATTATTTTTTAATATTATTTTTATCGACTCGCTTCGATAATAAATAATAATTGTGGCGACCGTACGGTGCGAAAGAGATAATAATTCCGAGAGAGGTGCTTCGATTCAGTGGTGCGGCCGAAGCTCGTAACGTTAAAAAATAACAATAAAACTGGTTTCACCGCGGTAATTATTTATTGAAAAAGGTTAAGAAAAAAGCAGATAATGTACCCGTCCGCGGAGTGAAATGTCAGACTATATATTTTACGCGTGCACTGCACACCATATTTCAGTGGATATTCAATCGATCAATTTAGAACTACGAAAACGCCAGCCTTCATAAGACAATGACGATAGGCTCGTCCGGCCGCAAAAAATCTATAACGAATAAATGGGAATGACCTCTAATAGTTGCGTTTAAAATATTAATATAAAAATGTTCAAGGCAACCCAATAAATAGATTTAACGCCTTATTCACCAAACTATTAATGTATTATTTAATCTATGAAGAACAACGAAATACTTTTACTATTATATCTTTGTCTCAAAAGGTGCATCTTGACATGATATTTTGTATTATTTGATTTTAATTCCATTAAAGCCTTGAGCTAATAATAGAAATGATGTCGATAGTTTTTTTGTTATTACGGTACTTCCTCGCATTTAGTTACTCTAGTGTTTAATTAACCGGTCGTTTTATCTGTCGTGCGAACGGCGAAAGATTATGTTAGGAGATGAATCGCGACATTTACGACGGCGCAGGACGAACAGTATTCAAGAAAATGTCTGCACTCAATAGAAAAAGCGAGATGAATCTCGAAGTTATTGAAACAATGCCACGCATTATAATACGCGTGTACCTATTCATTGGCCGGTGAAAGTCGGTCCGTTTTACATGTAATCGTATTACTCGTTACATCTCGCGATATTTATAATATATATATTGGATAAATATTTACAGAACTTATATTTTATGCGGAAGCAAAAACTATATCCTGTTGGAAATTCCACTACGAACATCTATTGTGCTTTAAGGCCCGACAAAAAATTAAATATATATTATGCTACGTTGACGAATGAGCAAAACTTGAAAGTTCACTAATATCGATCGCCCTTTAAAAATGGCGACGAACGTGTTACTGGCCTGGTATTGGTTAGACACTACTTCTTTATTCTTTATGTGACGTAAAATCTTCCAGATACACATGTACCAGCAATCGATGATGCGGGCCGAGGAGGTTCGAAGGCGACGAAGGGAAGACATGCCCACCACACAAACGGCGGTGAACAACATTCTGGCGGCGGCGGCCAGGGAGATGGAGGAGGCGAGGCAGGCGACCAGGACGGGCGACCTGGGTACGAGAGTGGTGGCGAGCATTCAGACTGAACAAGAGAATGGTGCGTAAAACATTTCAGTTTGTTCACTTTGTAATCCTCCTTCAATAATCCACAAATGAATGTACGCGTACACTCGATACAGCGGCTACACCGTCCTCGGAAGTGAGGCGCGAGTCGGAAGACGACAGGCCAAAGAAGAGGATGTCCATCATGTCGCCCGACGACGACAGGGCGCGAGTGAAGAAGAAGATGACTGTACGCTTCCAGGACGACAAGAGCGAAGAGCCGCCCAATAAGGTCACTTCACCCAGTGAGTATCGCTTTCATTATCTACACTAATATTATAAAGAGGAAACTTTTTTTTTTTGTGATAGGCTCAAAAACTACTGGACCGTTTTTAAAAATTCTTTCACCATTCGAAAGCTACATTATCCACGAGTAAATAGGCAAAATTTTATTTTGGAAAAAATAGGGTTCCTTAAAATATTTGGTTTTTCGGACACAAAGTGTAAAAAATCAACCAGAAAAGTTACTTATTTTGCGACGCTGCCTAAACTATAAAAGAAGAAGCAAAAATGTTCTAATTAATTGGAGATCTAATAAATATCTACAAAAAGTCCGCGACACACTAGTATCTATGTCGAGTGAGGCACAACAACCATTTTTTTATTTTAAAATCTTAATTTTTTTTGGACTACATTTAAACGCATTTATTTTACTCATGCTATTAATCCTTATTAAAATAAATTATTTCATCACTAAGTACAGTTTATGTAGATAATATTTGGTATTTAAAAGATTAAAATTGGACGTTTGGTTTTGAAGTTATGGCGAAATTAAAATATTACTATTTCTGCGTTGCGAAGTGGGCGTCACCAAGGCGGGGGTGCGAGTGCGGAGGGGAGTTTAGATCTATGAGTAAGGTACCAGTTATTTATTAGAAATAAAATGGTGATAAACGTACGTTTTGTGCGATAAATATGTCGTACGACAATGTTTGTTCTAATTTACAATGTTCAGACACTTGTTCGCGTTAAGCGTCACCGATTCCGCAGATTGACTTTGAAGTTGAACTTCTGCTAAGGATCAGTAGAATCCCGTTCCCATTATTTTTGTGTGTAAGTTAATTCGCAATTAGGAACGTTTCCGAGATATACTTCGTGCGTGCGTGTCTCAGGTGTGTATTAGGTTATTTCACGTTTCGCTGGGTTTGTGTAGCCTTTTATGGTAATCCTAATAACTTGTGTTTCTTGATATTATAAAAGCTAATTTAGCACTAAACAAATGTTGTCTTACAGTTAATTAAAAATGTTCGAGATAGCGTATTCGCTACCTACAGTTTACTGGGCCAAAAACTTCAACGTAACAAAGGCGGCCTTTTGTGCTCGTATCGATAAATAGTAACGTGCGAGAACTCGAAAGAACCAGACAAAGGATACAAGTTGAAGTTCGTCATAATGTGAATCTTGTACGGTACGAAACCCTCAGGCGGTTTTTTTAAAACTTAAATTATAGGAAACACAACATGTTTACGCAATTTAATTATTTTTCAGTCTGCGTTATATTCAATGAGTAATAATATATAATTATAGAGTTCTCAGACAGACACTGCTCAGTGGCCTTTACTCTATGCAGTAAATATTAAATTACGACACTGATGAATACCACCATTTACAGACGATTTTCTCACTATATTAAACTCGTGAGCCTCGCATAGATCTGTGCTTATTTAATATTGACCTGATTGTGCCTTTCTTAGTATAATTCGAACGGAACGAAGCTGCGATTCGTATTTGTTTTAACATTATACCGTACATAATATCATTGTTACTCTGCCGTTTATATTCATTATATTAAAACATCGCGCGGCTTTATAAACACGGCTATGAGTGTTGAAATAACGCGAGTTTGATAAGAAATGAGCATTATTCGTAACAATGATATTTGTCCACTGTGTCACTTCAGTGGCGATATTCTATAAGTATGGAAACGCTGTTTCGATGTCACCACGACTGCAAACCAGATAGAACCGCTACTGCTCAACAATGAACGTATCCATCCACAGACGCCGCCAATAACGGGGAGCCGAAAGACTCCGACAACAAGCAGGGCGGCATCAAAGTGGTGCAGTTGGCCGTGCTGCAGAAACCGACCAACAATGAACACGACGACTACGACGGTGCGTTTCTATCCCTAAATAAAGTTTTTTCTTTAATGCGGATGATCGTCTAAGGAACATTCCATTTATTTTCAGAAAGGGGCAAGGCGATGGACGAGGACGAAGAGACAGATTCGAGCGGGTCCGTGTCGGACGCGGCCGCGAACGACTCGCAGGACTCGCGGCCCTACGCGTGCGACGTTTGCGACGTCAGGTGGGCGCCGAGAGAGGCGGACGCGTCGCTCGTTTCGGCGATAGCTAATTAATATTCCGTCGCCTGCAGGTTCGCCCGCTCGTCTCACCTGAGCCGACATAGGCTGACGCACACCGGAGAGCGGCCCTACACGTGCGGCGGATGCGGCCGCTCTTTTGCGCGCTCCGACAAGCTGCGCGTGCACACCAAGATCTGCGAGCGGGTACGTGTATGTATAACAAAGCTCAGGCATCTTCTGAAAATGTATCTCCGTATAAAAGCAATTCCACGACTATATGACACCGCTCTTCATTTGTGGAATAACTACTGACCGAACCCGTCGAAAAATTCCAGGAGGACCCGACGGTGGACATGGCCAGCGACCAGCAAGTGGGCGTCAAGCGCGAGAACAACTCCGAAGTGATGTCCGGGATGGTGCGCAGCACGCACCGCGAGTCCGGCCACCTAGTGTTCACGCCGAGCGGGGACGTCATGCTGCCGCCTAGAAGCAACCCCGTCATCCTCAACTCTAGCCTGGAGCCGGTGAAGAACGAGCTCAGCCAAGGGGAGCTCTCCGACCCCCCGAGGAGGGGACGCGGCAGGCCGAGGAAGACCCCGTTGCCGCTCACGCCCAAGATAAAGAAGCGAAGAGGACGACCGCCGAAGACGTCGCTCGGTATGGCTCGTTGCTTTCGGGGAGCTTTTTATCGGGGAAAAAATTTCACGGTTCAGATATATCGCAACTTAAGAGAGAAGGTCTGCCCGATGTCAGACTCGCTCACCGTTATCAAAATATTACTAATTATTTCGTTCGGTACCGCACTTCGGCAGATATGGAGGGATGCGTCCTCACGGGCGGCACAGTGATGGGCCCGAGTCCGCAGCACATGTCCGCCCTGTCGCCGGCTGGACAGCAGCTGCTTCTGAAGAGGAAGCGCGGGCGCCCGCCCAAGAACTACCTGATTCCGAACAGACCCGGTATGATACATCTTCAAAGTCCTTTTGTGGAATTAATGTTTCTCGCCATGGGGCCACCATTTGGCCGACAGTACTTACCCAATCCCAAAAACAATTGTCACTCACCCCGTGTTCCCCACTGCTTGCGGGGTTCGGGGTGTCGGACATCAAGTAATGAGTAGTCTAAAACACGACTAAGACATTTTAACCTTTAGTGGAGCGTGTCCTTATATACGATTTCTTTCTTTAATAGTGTTCCCATAAAATTCATTGAATATTTTACTGTCCAAGTTAACATGTTAATCTAAACTGTTATTTGTTTCTTTTCTTTAATCATTATAAAATGATTCTTACTGAATCGATTTTCAAACGTGGTTTTATATAAATATTTGGTTTATAATTAAAACGGACGTCGACTATATGGTGTCCGCCACGGCCCAGCTAAATCTCAAGAATCGAGGCGGCGTTATATTTATCATGGAAGTACAAAATTGTAGCTCGTTAAATAAATGTAAAAATAGAATAAGCTCATAAAAAGTTTGGGGAAATACCACCTAATCTCGAGTTTTTGTTATCATTACAAAATGACATTATAATGAATCACTGTTTTTTATAAAGGTGCCGAGTACAGTCACGCGCACAAGTGTGTTGGAATATTAAAATAATGGCAAATAGTCAAGTTATACAAAATAAGTGCTTAATCATAACTGCTTAAGAGTAACGAGTAAAGGCAGACAATTGTAGCGTAGCACATTCGAGTCCAACTCGAACTTGCCGTGTGACTGTACCGGTCGCTGTGTACTGTACATTTCATTGTATTCGCGTGTCGTGTTTGTGCGAACGCTTCTTAATTTAGTTTTAGCCATATTTTGATGAACCTTTTTCTTTGGTGCTATTGTTCTGGTTTTTATACATTTTTTGCTGACGTCAATTGACAGCAGTCCGCATGAACCGGTTTAGATAACTGTAATTATTTGTACTTTATGATCGCTATAAAGGATACGTGAGGTGTACCTGAAATGAGAAACGGGAAGGTCTCACGTAGGGTACCGATGCTAAAACCAAGCTAATGAAATGTTTTATAGGTATGGATATGACAATACCGATGCAGTACGGGCTAGCTGCCGAAATAAGCAAACTTTGTTAGTATATTTATTTTTTCAGCATGATCCATACACTTCTTCGCAGACAGATAAGGAAACGTTGTAGAAATTAAATTAAAATCAACTAAATTGGGAATTTCGTCGGTACTAATCGGTATCATTTGGCTTCATTGTGGCGTGACGCTTCTTATTTTTGTGTGTGCATGTTTTAATGGCACGCTTCGAACTAATCGCATGAGTTTTGGCTGCGCGTGCATGTAAAACGAGCTTCTCAAACGCGACGCGTTTTAACCAGCCCCTTCCGCGTGCCCCCAGACGGCCGACCGAACGAGAACTACAACGCCACCAACCTGCCCTTCGGAGACTTCTCTTACCTGACGGAGATGATGTACAACCCGCTCGCGTACTCCTACGGCGTGACGTCCGTGGACCCCGACCGCAACGTCGACGCCGACCTCAGTATGACGTCGGAGACCCACGACCGGACCATCGACGTGTCGGACTCTTCCAGCGACGAAGAAGACTCCAGAGTGGAACCGGAGGAGAACATCCCGGCCGTCGCGTGCGAGACGCAGATAATGACAGTCGGCGACTGTCAAATTGTCAAACTTCCAGCCAACGAGGACAAGGAAGACAAAGCCGAACCGGTGCAGTCGGAGACCAACGTGTCCGTCCCGACCCCCAGCTCGGTCACGATCACTCCTATCACGACCGTCGGCGACTGTACCATACGCCCGGTGGAGAACACATAATCCGAGAGAGCTTACCCCATTATAGTCATTCGGTACGTTATGGAGTAGTCTGGACGTGTGGGGTGAAGAACTAGCGCTGAGGGTAGGAATTCTTCGGCTTCTTAAAACTCTCAAATCCAATTTTATGTTAGCGATCTCGCAAACGTCAATCGGGATAGGTTCGCATCGCCGAACTCTGTAGCCTAAGGCCTAATAACATTCGCAGTACCACTCTGGACCACTTCAGGGCCGACCTCCCGCGTGTACTCCGTATCGATACCATATATTGGACCTTTCCCCTATATAACGTCTTCCCTTATGCTATTCATGTAATGGGGTAGACATATTATTGTGGTAGCAGAAGCTCGCAGCGTTCGCCAGTTGAGTCTTCCTATTTACATTTACCGATAAGAGGCCGTCTCCGTAAGTTCCCTTCGAACGCAGTTTCTATCTCTCGCTGAACTAGAACGCCCCGAACGCTATCGCGAAGAGAGATGCTACTACAATGATAGACTCGTGACTAGATTATTTAGAAATTAAGCTACTGTAGATGCATTTAAATTGGAATAATTTATTGGATTTTGAGATTCGATCGTACTAAAGCTTTACGTGTGCCGTTAGAACATTTCGCGCCGGGTCGTCCGACGCGAGACGCTCTAGCGCAGCCGGGAAACCATGATACTCAATGAACACAATTCATTCGGACCGAATGCGACGTCACAATGGAACAGTGTGTGTGTACACAAGTACCCGCGGTTCGCCAGTGTTGCCATAGTCTATTTTTAATTCACTCACAAAAGTTTTATATGAAACGCTGTTATTACACTATAGCATGTAAAACAGTCATATTTTGCGATACTCTACAGAGGTGTCATATTTACCGCGTATTTTAGAGGTAAGAATGTCGGTTGCCTTCGTGCGGCGCGCGCGCGTCGCCTGCGTCCCCACGCGTCGCGTATACTTTTGGGGGAGTTTAGCTTTAATGATGAAATTTTTACTTCCCTTCCGACATTTCCGAGTTCGTGAAACAGCTCTATCTCGATCGATCTGATTACTGCGGCGATCCGTCGCACCGCAGACTAAAGTATAGATATTTTCCGTAGTTTGTAACGTATCGCGTACTACGTTCGTCTGTAATCGTATATTGGGTGTGTAGTAGCACAGCTGTCTCGCCTTTTACTCTTATCTTTGTGAATAGTAAGTAGCGAGTAGTGATTTAGATAAAATTTTAAAATTCTAAAATATATAACACCACACAAGCGAGTGATACGGCTAAGTATTTTTAGTCCGACTTTCGTATATATAACATATATTTCTCTAATCGTTTTGCCCGGTCACGGTCGACGACGGGCTGTGAGACAGTCCTGAATGGACTTCGCGTCTTTTATCTCGTATAGGTTTCTCGAGTTCCTTTAAGCGCGCTTCGCTCGGTGTAATGTATGTGCTGGTCTCGTAATACTTTTACAAGTTTCTGCCGTTTTTACAAGGATCAATTATCGGGAGCCAGCGTCGCCATACGCATTGTAACGTCAAAAAAGTATTAATCAATTTTTATTTAGTTTCCTTCGAAATATCTGTACAGTAGTATAGTTCCTAACGGTTAATGAAAAATTATAGCCCTTCAAGTACTAACGTAGTGATAAGTTCTAATTATATTTTTACGTTAAGTTATCTCGAGATCAAATTAGTCGTCGGTAGCGATTCGTTTAATTTTCCTCCGCTTTACGTATTCAACGGAAGACTGCTCGCTTTTTATTCGGCCGACGCCCGAAGAGCCCGAGAGGCTTCATCTCACGGCAAGCTAACATGAGAGTTTATTTAATACAAATGAATCTGTATTTTTATAACTAAGGATAAGTTGACTCCGAACGGTAATCTGGATCCGGCGCCCGCGTGCGGAGGGTTAGTGTTAAGTTGAAACGGCCCTATTGGCTCGCAATAAGTGATCGATTCGTTGTTTTCGGAATGTTGATTGTGCGGTTGTATTGCATTTATATTAAGTTTACGCTGACTTTTACTCGATTCGACCGACGTCGTCGACGCGGCTGAGCTCGCGGTCGCGTCGCATTTCAGTATTGACTGTGGCCTCAGTCGCGTGAAAGACGTTCGCTTTTATTCATTTATTCTATCGAAGTCGAAAGTACTATAGCTATAGGTATATTGATACGCGAGGTCTCGTCCGTACGTTTACGCGTTCCACACTTTATACGTTACAACGGAGCGCTAAGGCTGACGAGCTCTCTTCTGCATTACGGAATAGTTATTATTTCGGACGAGATCTTATACGTCGCGATAATGTTTTAATGAAATCATCAACAAATATATTTAGTTTTAATTATTACGTTATTCCTGTTTTGTGAAATGGCTATCATTTTACGTTGTGATCATGTGAGTGCAAAATTGTTTTAATATTTTGACCAGTTTCATTGACTCCGTCAATCTTTGAGGGCAGCAGGATGTGAAATGTTTCTTTCTGCGTAGTCCGAGAGCAGTATTTTTTAGCTGTAGTTCTTTATATAAACTTTTTTATTATTATTTTAACATTGTGAAATTCGATCGTTAGTTAATTTCTAACAATGAAATATTTAATAAAGAAATCACAAAAAGAGGCCTTTTCTTTTTTATCTCCTGAAACAGAAACGAAGCTACCGCAGGGAGCAAAAGCGACGAGGATACAAAATAAAGTGTATTTTACTCTAGTATATTTATGATAAATACAGGTATTTGGGTAACAACACTGGAATATCAAACGTCACCAGACCGCAGGCCTCGATCGGCGCTCGCTTCATCCAAAATTATGATAAATATAGCACGACCGGGAATCGAATACGCGAACAGGCACAGAATGTGGCTATATAGAAATCTTATATATTCAATGGTGACGTTACTATAAACGGTAATTATTATTCAAAAATATATGTCGTTATTTCTTTCTTTAAACTTTGACAAGCATTTTAACATCACACTCACAATAATGCCTCTATATGACTCGAAAGTACTTTGCAGATTCTGAATGAAATATATTAGTATGGCGAGAGAACTTCCACTGTTAAATAGTATGCTTGTAAATAGTGGAATAATAGTGTATGTAATACCTTACAGTTTGCCCCAATTTCGTTTCCTATTGCCACAGTACATAATATAGTCTACTGCGCTCGATGCGACTGCATTTTCACAAAGCTTTTATATTTGTACTGTGGGGCTTAGTAAATAAATTCTTTTATAGTACATATTAAGTGCCCGGTGGAGGAGGGGGCCTGTTCGACCACCGAGGCTGGTTTCCAGCCATGTTGCAATAATTGGACCCGAACACTGGCCTATTTTGTGTAAAGGGAGGCACGTTCGGTGGGCGGAGTAAAGGGTTCCTTCCAAAATTCATTCTGGGCCGCACGAACATTGGGAACGCTAGTGCCGGAGGAGCGGTAAGCGGTCCCATTTCAGCAGTGGGGTGCGGCGGAGGAATTCTTCCGTGGAACTCGTGGAAGGGCATGAAAGGGTTCGGCCACCTGTTGTCAGCGTTGTAACCTCTGTTCGGACCGGTTCCGAATCTACTCGTGGATTGTGTAGGTCGGTTCCTTCTAGCTTCGAGCATTTTTCGTGAATTTTTTGAAGTTTCTCCACTCTCCGCGTTTTCATGTTTCTCTTGTCTGTTTTGTTTCTTTTCTTTTTTCGCTTTTCGCTCTTCCTCGTCGTCGGAAAATTCAACTTGGCTCGCCGGCGGTTCCAAGTCGTTTAACCACGAGGCGTCGCAGCCTTTTGCTCTGAAATTAAGTTATAACTAGAATGTAGGTCACCATGTTAAAAATTACAAAGAAAACATCTACTTCAAGGAAAAGAACTCACTTAATTAATTCTGTAAGAAAAACATAACTTGTGTGTGGGGTCCTCGGGGCAATAAACACTTCCATACCGACTTCGACGCCACGTTCTACAATATGTGCCGCCGAATTAAACCTTACACAGTAGTGCGGTTCTGTTACCTGAATAATAAAGAATATTAGCTAACTGCAACTTAGACTCTGGTTGTTGCAATGGCCTATGATGGCTGATGAATATATAGACTTGGATAGTTTAGTATAAAGAAACTTACAGGCCCGAAAACATCGAACACCTTCCCCAAAGTCTTAGCACCATTATTTAGGAACAGAACAGTGTCTAAATCCACTGCAGCTGTCTCAGGAAATGCTTGAACAACGACTACAAATATAAAAATATACTTTAATATGTAAAGTTAATCGATTAATTGCACAATATTTTATATTTATACTATATTTTACCTAATCTATCTACTATACTGAAAACTTTTCCAATCTTGGTAGTTTCCTGTGGTGGCAAGCTGATTGTTAAATCTTCTATTGGGGGCAAGTCATCGAGACTCAACTCTCCATGCACTTTAGGCGGGGCCAATTTCTCTGGATGGTTTGGTGTAGTCTCATCGCTGGCACAGATTGGTTATTTAAATAAGTAAAAAAACACTCAAGGTAAACCAAGTAGATATATATATATAGTACTTGGGACCTTAAAAAATATTAAAAACATTTAAATGAAAGAAAATCAAATGAAACAGTAATTATGTAGTTGCAATTTTAGTTTTTTTTTTTTACTTAACATTGGTTTAGTTTTCTACTGAAGTCAATCTATTTTAATAACCCAGCACTTTCAATTTAGGAGAATATTAGGTTTAATAGTAACTATGACTCATTGTTTAAGTGCATAATTATAAAGTAGTATTATAATTTATAGTTACAATTTGTTTTAACAGCTGGTTGTAACCAAGATATTTACAACATAATTGTACTTAGTCAATAACACAATTGTTCAGAATTTTTATTGGTAGGAACTATAAAAAAAGGTTCCAAATAGTATTATGATCAACTAGTCTACAAATTCTCACTATTCAACCCTGTTGCTGCCGGAGTGGCAATGTGCGGCTTATTAAATTAGTTTCAAGGTGAGGGTTACAAATTAACATAGTGGGAAGTTTCCACAACAAGGGCACAGAAATAAGTTTCAAGGTTGTCTGTTGTTTATTTTATATAAAAATTTATTATTAATTGAAATATGTATTTAATTTATTTTTATGCTTATATTTACTAAAGTCTAGGCAGACAATTAACTTAAGTGTTGTTAATAACCAAAAATATGAGGCTTATGTTTAACATAAAAAATTCTAACATTATTAAAAATTTTAGTATGTTTATTAAACTCCATTTATTAAAAACCAATCACACATCCTTACAGGGCATAGTTTGATATATACAACATTCATTAGCATACCTGCTAGATATTTCTTCGACATCCTTAACAGAGTCCACATCATTATCGCTAGACTCCTCAGAACTGTCAGTTTCTGAATCATCACTGTCCTCATCGTCTACTCGGTACATCGTTACATCATATTCTGAAACACCATTCTCAGAGCTATCTATTATCATATGCGTGGTGACATCTTCATCTGCGTCGCCCCCTGACAAGGGCCCATGAGCACAAGCGTTAATGATGTTATTCTTTAACACCATTTCGCTAAGTTCCACAGAGTCGGAATCACCATCAAGTTCTCCAGGGTTATCGAGCGGTGGCGTACATTCAGATTCAGAATCCGACCGATACTCCGCTATTAACTTTAAGGAGACGTTCTGATTATTGCCTTCATCGTTACTTTCCATAGCGAGATCCTCGAGGACGGCACGTTTACACCTAATACGTTCGCTTAATATCGTCAGGCATTCATCTTACTGAAAATAAATCGCAAAAACGTCAGGCGCACAAATCACTTGTGTAAGATGTGATAAAAAACGCGGGTAGTGTTACTGTTATTTACTCTTAACACAATGTACATTGAATATGTAATTTTCAGAAAATCTGCAACTGCTTGGTGACTTATTGTTAATAGCACTCGCGCACGTTTTGACTTATGACATATTCGTAATTGTCATAGAAACTAAATATAAATTAAAATTTTCTAAACTCGTTATAGTGTAGTTTTTCTTACTTGGCATTTCTGGAAAACTAACGCACAATTTTCATGAAATCGTGATTTTCTCACAAGATATATCAAACTAATCTAATTCACTTAATTAAAACCATAATTCCTTGCTAAAATTAATGAAAAACCTAAAAATTAATTTACACAACAGCACAGACTAAAACTTTCTTTAGTTTGACATTTACATAATGATGGGGTGTATGCAAGGTCAACGCCACTAGAAAGTAGAAGTCCCATTTATGCACGATCGCTGAAAAGCGTTACAAACGTCGAGTTAAATAATAAAGAATTATTTTTTTAATACGTCGTCAAAAAATTGTTTTTGAATATTACAGTTGTTTGGTCCATACATATTGGATATTTATTTAACCCTGTGTCATCTGTGGCAACGACTACACTCTTACGGCTTTACTTTTACGCTATGGTTTGGTATCGGTCTTATTAGTTGTGGTCTTTTGCAAAGTCAGCCGTTATTTATTTTATTCTTTGAAATATTAATAATAACTTATATTCAAGCCAGGAAAACAATATGAAATTTTCTTGTAAATGTGATATTTCTAATCTGTTTGTTCAGTACACATTGTTAGAGTTAATAAATCCAATAAACCATGATTAATTATGTTTATTTATTGTTTTATGTAAAGAACAAAGTACTTCTTCTTAATTTGTTAGCTTTCCCATTGTAAATGTATCTTGATCATTTGCGAGTAATTGAACGATTTGTCATCGACGCGCTGTCAATTGACTGTCACGATGACACTTGGCTGACAGTTGTTTATCTTTGGTTTTAAATAAGACTTGGCTTAAAGGTCTCGATACCAGGCCATTAAATATAAAAAAAAATCTATTTAGACTTTTTTAATTTACTCTTCCATAAAGTCAATCTGCTTTCTTTCATACCTCTAGTTAAATACTTACAAAAAACGCTTTTTTCCTAAATTTTAGATTGCCTAGAAGGGATCGATAGCGAAAAGGCCACCCACTGCATTCGCTCCAGAATACAAGTTTTATCAGTATTCTTATTATTTTTCTTGTGCGATAAAAATAAATAAATAAATTGTTGTAAATTTATTGGCCGTTTTCTTCGATGACATCCTTACTCCTACACGCGAAGGAATTCGGATGATTTGCTCGACTAATTCATACTTTGTACTAAGCTAATGTAAGAAATCTTTTTTATAACAAAAACAACAGTACAACTTGTATTTTCGCGAGAGTCACGTTGAGTCTTGCAACTAGACTCGGTCTAATTGAAAATCGCAATTAGTTTTGTTAACTTGGGCGGTGGTGCGTTTGAGATGGTATAATGATAGTAATGTATGGTTTTTGAGTTTGTAGACATAAGCCCATAGAGTATAGACAAAGCTCAACAATAAAGTTAGTATGAAGAAAAATGTACAAAAAAACATTAAATTTAAATTACGTCATAAATTATGTTTTTGCGTAATAAATTATGACCTAAAAATAATAATACTCATGCGGGGCAGTGGCTATATATTAGGAAAGCATAAATATAATTAAGTAAATAAAATAAATATAAGTAATTAAGTTTATTTTGTACATAAAAATAACATACATTGTGGTGAAAATAATGTATTTTTTGTTTGTTTGTCATAAATATTAATGGCAATTTCTAATGACGAACGAAATGGGCGAGATCCAAGATGCTACATCAACAGCGATGATGATGATGAAAGCAAGATAATCCTGTATTGTTTTACGTGTCGCACGGATGTCCCGGACAGAATGGGAATAGATATATGCTCAATGAATCTCCAATCAGTTTTATGAATCCGGATAATAAGAGTGACTCGTAATAATAAGCAGTTCTCGGATCTATTCAATTAAAACGTTGCGAGATGTGTGTCTGGTTTATTCAAGTCAGTTTTGTTTAGAATTGTCAGGCGGCTTGTCGGTAGTTTGCCATTCAAATGAAGTAATCTAACAATAACCGCAAAAATAAATTACTGAACTCTTATTGGCCGCGAACTCATGTGGCATTTATTTTTTGGAATGTGGAAAATTACTATCACCAAGAGAATAGAATATAAATGTTTCGATTAAGATTTTTTATTGACTTAGCCCAAACTTCAAGAAAAGACCTAATATAATATTGTTTAAATTAGCGCGGCTTTCTTAACTCTAATAATTCTACACTAGCTACAGCGTTGGAGCATAGAAAGGTATCTTGCGCAATGTTGCGAGTATTACAAAAAATACCCATTTTTCTTCATAAGGCTAAATGTTAAGGCAACTGAAAAACAGCAGTTTTTAATATGGGAATAAGCAACGAATTGTATAAAATTTATATTTCAATAAATGGAATTGCAGGTAGTAGTTTCCCAGCGCACGTTCCGAAACCTATTCGAGCTCCGTTAGCGCTAACGCAGTATCCGCGCAGTACAACAGTGTCTCCATCCTGAAGGAATTTTCGTTCTTCACCGGTTTTCAACCGCAACGGCTTGGTTCCCTTCCAGCTTAGCTCTAACATGCTACCGTAGGAATCCGATGTCTGAAAAAGGACGAATATTTTTCCAATTTTAAAGCGACAGTAATCCACGTTCACGATTGATCTTTAAAGGAATCATTAAAAAAAAATCAACTAAATACAAACTTACGTCACCACTAATAGTTCCAGAGCCGAGAATGTCGCCGGGGCGCAGGTTGCAGCCTGTGACGGTCTGCTGAGCCAGTTGTTGCTTCACAGTCCAGTACAAGAAGCGGTAATTCGAACGACTAATTGTTGTCGCCAAAGGTGACTTCTCCGCTGGAACATTATTATAAACGAGTGTTATTTATGAGATATCCGTATTCGCATTTTATAAGTTATTGTGCCTATAAACAGCTATCTTATCGATGCTATTACACAAATTACATAGTCAATGTCACAATTATGTACAATTTGTTGCTAAAATTCTCTCAAATTGTAGCAACAAATATATTATGTATATCTAACTATTTTCAGTTAACGAAGTATTAAAAATATCCACCCAATGTCTTACTTTTTCAAAAGACCTCGCCCTGAAAACATTCACTAGCGTATACACTCACTTATTAAATCGACTTCTAATTTTATATCAAAGTTGAAGTTGTCTTCGTGTTTGAGATATGGGAAAGGAGCTGGATCCTGTGGGTAGTTCTCCACTATGTACGGTCTCAGAGCGTCAACGGTCACTACCCATGGAGATAATGAAGTTCCAAGGTTTTTAGCAGTAAAGGGTCCGAGAGGAACGTATTCCCACTTCTGAATGTCCCGAGCTGAAAGTTCCGTGTAGATTATAACGTCAGTTTTAAAAAGACTTCATATTCATCCACGAAATGCTTGTCATTTCGTTAACAATAACTCATACACACCGCTCCAGTCATTCAGAAGAGCGAATCCGAAAATGCGGTCTTCCGCTTGCTTTGCCGTGATTCTGTCTCCGACTTTTGTGGGGGCTCCACCTACAAAGCAGGCCATCTCCAATTCAAAGTCCATCAATCTACAGGGGCCGAAGTGCGGTGCAGCACCTAACACAATGTAAGAGAAATTAAAATAATATAAGTAACTTGAACTGGCTTTTCCATTGACTAGTGACTCTTTACCTTCTACTGGTTGGGTTTGACCATAGGGCCTTGTAATTGGTGTTCCTGAGATAACTATTGAGCTTGCCCGTCCATGATATCCAACTGGTATGTATTTCCTGAAATGATTACATATTTATAAAATATAATGCCAATGACAACTTTTTACAGCGAAAAGGAATGCTTCTTAAAGTGCCAAGTTCTTACCAGTTGGGCATGAGTGCATTCTCTTTACTTCTGAACATAATGCCTACGTTGGTCGCATGATGGATAGATGAATAGAAGTCTGTGTAGTCTCCGATATCTGCTGGCAAGTGCATACAGGCTTCACTTTGCTTTACAAAGGCTCTGAAATTTTTTTAATATATAATCACTAGTTATTTTAATATACATTAAAAGCATTATCAAATATTAACTTTAAACTATAGAGTTAAACAAAAGAATAAAGAAAAAAAGGCAATATGTCATGGGGATAGGCCAAAATCCTTGATTTAAGTACATACCTCTCTCGGAGTTGTAAATCATTTTGTAATGTTTCATTTGAAGCATGTAGTAAATTTTGAATTGTAGCCCTCGCTTCACTCCAGTGTGCCTTTGTCAACCCCATGAAGGCGTTTAACGTTTGTTCCTGTAAAAATAATTATTTTTACCTAATACAGCCCTTAGTTTACTAGTTTTAAAGATAATAATTGAATATTAGGGATGATCATTGGATTTATTACCATAACCAGTTTACGATATTACGTTACCTTAAAGACAAATTGTTTATGTTTTAAAAGTTCTCCATTGAATAGGTGTGATATGACGTTTAAATCCAAAATCCATTCACCTATTGCGACTCCTATGTGCTTTTGATCCTGAAAATAAAGATTGTTCCCTTGGTATGGTATGTTAAAACAATATCGCTGCAGTCATCCTTCAACATTGTGTGTACGTACTAAACTTGGAAATCTAAAAATTGAAATGATCTAATCTTGCACAATGTCAAGCTTTGTTTGACTTTATTTGTACTAAGCTAACAAAAGAAAAATATTTTGAATATGAGAGAGGACTCACCACACTTCCTGACGAGAATACGCCATAGGGTAAATTTTCAAGAGGAAAATCCGTGTTCGAGGCATATTCTATAAAAGACTTCATGACGCGTCTATTTCGTTAGACAGTCGCTACTAAATTGTCGATTTAAGATAATTTTAACAGCTTATACTCGTTTCAGATAGCAGTCTAAATATGTAAATAAGTTAACTTGTTTACGTTGATACCAGCCGGACTAGAAGGTAGTAGGTACCTACTCGATAGTCAGTCGTTTAGAAGCGTTGCTTCAGCTCAAGGACGGCCACTCCGGGACACAAGATTATATACACTCCCTACCTATATAACAATATACATTGCCTACTTGAATAAAATGATATTATTAATTATTTTTGTTATTGTAGCGCTTAACTCTAAGCAAATGAGTTGTTTATTTTAGAAAATTCACGTCCTACAAAAAACTAAATTACCTACTTAGTGTACCTTTTCTATGATTAATTTGGTGGGTTTACTTTATATATAATATAGGCTATGGCAATAGATCAGTAAATAGTAATTCTGTATGCACCTATACAGATAAATGTTAATATGTATCTTAATACATATAGCTAAAGAGTTTGTTTGAACGCGCTAATCTCAGGAAGGCTACAAAACATCGCCCTGTGACTGATACAATGTGAAAAAAAAATGGGTAAATTATAGATACCTAAAAAATATGTATGAAAGAAGAATGATTCCTCCTTAAATGATCTAAGTAAAATAAGTTGAAAATTCATCAAGTATGTTTTGGATTTTGGAGCCAATAATATAAACAATTTATATACTTAATACAAATATAATAACATCACGTTACGTTTGTAGTAACCATTAAAATAGTATTTATAGCTTGAAGGTAACCTTACTGAGTACTGGCCCCGCCAGCGGAGGGTCCTTGCCGTAAAGGCTCGCGTGAGAGTCCGAGACTACCTGGAAAATAACTCTGCAGTTTATGGACATTTGGGAAAATTAATAATGTAATGCCCAGTAGCGTAGCTAGGTGGACAAGGGCCCCGGTCTAACCCTAAGGGTCAAGAGAGAATCGGGCCCTCATCCCCTCTTTTAGCATAGCTTGAATTAAATCAACCTCAAAAATTATAAATAGCAACAAGAACGTTAAAAAATCCTTTTCTTCTACGCTTATATCTTCTCAAAGATAAGGTTAGAGGGCCCTATATTCTGGGGCCCAGTAATGCCCTGGTGCACTGGTAATGCCTCACGACTTAGTTATCAGACCAGGGACCCGGTGTGCCGGATCTGGTGAGCTGTTCAGAAACCGGTGGCATTGCAATAATCGACAAGTGTAAGGAAGTTATATCTAAGATAAGAGTTGCTATTGTTGATGCACATTCTCAAATGTATGTTCACTCTCATTGGTTTATCATCATACAGCTACTCCGTAACGTTCTGTTAAAACCCATTACACAAATTCAAATTAAATGTCATAATAAAATAATAATAATAATCATACACCATGCAAATACAAAATGAAGTGATATAAACAATATATTTTGAAATACTTATTACATAAACTAGCTAACAATAACTTGAATATGTCAGACAATTGCAAAGTTAAGAATTTCACTATACACAAGTTAACATAATGAAACTAATGCAAATACCTTTTTTTTTTAATTTTACAACATCTTAATGACGTAATATGTAGTCTATGCAGAGATTTTGAACAAAATTCAGAATTAGTAATTTCATTATTACTACATCAAAATTTTAACAATGTACCTCAAACTGATTGAACGCATTTAAATGGAAGTAATGATATAAATAACTATGCTAAAAGTAAATTAAAATAACATTTTTAAATTTATATTCTATGATTACAAACAAGTGTGGTATAAATTCTACAATGTAAATATTGAATGAACACAGAAGCAAAACCGCTAATCTTAATACCCCATTATGATTTGTTTCTTTTATTCCAAACATTGTGCATGTATCAATAAGTTGAAAAAATTCGACGATGAGGTGTAGGACTCGGTAGCTCAATTGGTAGAGCAACAGCACGGAAAGCTGACTATGCCGGTTCAAGTCCTGCCCGAGTCGAAAATTTTTTCAATTTATTTTCGATTTTTAAATCTTTTATTCTATTTTATTATTTCGACACTTTAACTACTTTTGAATGCTATTTCTATTATAAATAATAGTTCAATTCTCAAACTTATTTACACAGGGTTGCATCAATCTGCTGTAATGAGGGTAAGATTAGCTTCAATTTTCTTCGATAAGAGGGATCTGAAGCCACAGGGTTTCTTTCTAAGTATATAGTTGTGAGGTTCTTGTTCTCTTGTAAATATTCCACAGATGACCACTCTGAGATTTGATTGTCGTTTAACTGTAAGAAGTTTTGTTTAACTCCTATTTCAATGACAAAGCCTGCTATCAAATACGAAAGTGGAAGGTATTAAATAAGAGAAAAAACTGGTTTAAGTCTTTCACTATACAAATAAAAACTTACCCAAAGTTCCTCTAAATGGACCATGTGCCGGACATTGTCAATTACAGTAATTCTATTCATAGCTAAATCCAAAGTCTGCAACTTCACTTGATAGTCTAGATTCTCAATAGCGTCTAAGCCATTCTCAGAGATATAAAGCTGATCCAAGTTTGTCAATTGTTCAAGATTCTCTATTTTTGTTATGCGGTTACTTTGTAAGACAAGAATTTCTAAATTTGTCAAAGCTTCAAGATTTTGAATTTTACTTATTTTATTCTTGCCTAAGTATAATTGCTTGAGCATTTGTAATCCGTCGAGATTCTTGATTTCCTGTTGAGAACATCCATATAAATAATTCTCAGATTTTGCATTTATATAAATATAAATGCAAAATTGTTTTCGGTCTGCGTTTAAAAACGCAGACCGAAAACATTCTTACTCTGATGATAACTTACGCGTATTCTATTGTCACCCAACTCTAAAAGTTCAATTTTAGGTAGATTTTTAACATTTTTAATTTCTGTGATTTTGTTTGAGCTTAGAAAAAGTTTTTTCAGGTTCAACAGATTGTCCAGACCGGTTATCTCTTTAATTCTGTTGAATGATAGGTCCAGGACCCTAAAATCCATAAAATATTATATATAAATTTAAAATCTAGTGGTGCATTAACTCTATGACAGTTTAAAAGGGCGGGTGCTTGTCACGCAATGCAAGCAGAGCGTGGATTTTGCTTTGCCTGTTGAAGTACTATTATGATTAAAAATACTAACTCCAAATTAACAAGGTTATCCAAGTTCTCTATAACGGTTATCTGGTTGTCATATAGCTCTAATTCAACAAGGGTGCTAAGTGTGTCCAGTCCTTCAATTTTCTTAATTAAATTCCATCTCAAGTACAACCTGAAAAATAAAGAAGACACAGTCGAGTCCTTGGCTAGCCGTGGAATATAATTCTAATACATATCTCAAGAAGGTGCAAGATTAAATACTTGTCTCTAAACATGTTGAGTTTAACACCAAAGCCAAAACAACCAATTACCTTTCTAAACGCTTCAAAGGTTCCAGATTCTCAATCTTCCCAATTCTACCGTGGTTGAGATCCAATTCTTCCGTGTTCTCATTGATAACTATGATTTCTTGAGTCTCAACTTCAGCTGGAGGCGGCGTCACCGGTGGCGGAGGTGATTTATCCCCACTGTTGTTCTCGTTAGAGTTTTCATTAGGTACAGAATTCGCTTCGTTATCCACCATTCCATTAACATTGTCTGAAAGCGAATTAATGTTTAAGTAAATAAATAATTCAAGACACATGGGTCATCGCTATTAGTCGTACCGGCCATTTTCCTGTGTTGTAGAGGTGCACTTTATAGTATGATAGATTTTTATTGCACTCAATGGATATAATAAAATTTTGTAAGCTAAATGTAACAAATATTAATTATTGAAACTTTGCACGACTTGTACAAACCACTTGACTAACATTTTCGATGACATTCATGATTCACGTTAACAGTGTCTACTGTCATAAAATGTCGCTGCCAACTATTAGAACCCTAGCTTGCTGCTTGTAGGTACATAAAAAACGTTTTCTCCTCTCCTTAAGATTACGTTACATTTTCGCGTGATTATCACAACGTAAACAAACCCACTAGAAAAGGACAATTGTTTACAATTTTTTATTATGTGACTTAAACATTTATGAACTCTACGGTCTACGGATCGCGTTCAAAACAGTTCTAAACCTAATTCTTATATGTCACTATTTATTATTTACTAATATGTCATATTTCTATCGATTCCGCCAAATTTTGAATATTTATTAAAACGTAAAAACAAAAATAATTACAAATGGACCCAAACCTTAATTTAGGTGACTCTATAGAAAAATTTGATATTAAAATTAAGTCAAAACCAAAAGATGGTGTAATTTTACAGCTTCACCACACAGTTCGAGGTTCGAATGGCGAAAGTCGGCGTATAAGGTTTTCTTCAGCCGTATTTGATGACTCTCAGGAAAAATTAGCGTGTGCCGACAATGTTGGAAACATTTTTATACTCGATTTTGCAGATCTCAAATTTTGGAAAATAACAAACCGAGGAGCCTTCACCGCACTTCACTTTTTTCCAAATAAATTGGAGACATTAATCGTGGCAAATAAGAGTTATAACATAAACCTCATTGACATAGAATCAGGTGCAATCTCACTCACACTGTCTGGCCACAGTGCTCCTATAAAACACTTATCGTTTTCAAATAACAAAAAGAATAATCTTTTAACAGCTAGTGCAGTCGAAGCCATTTTATGGGAGCTCACTAATTTTACAAAATATTTTACACTAAATACTTATTCTGGTGCTCAAATACAACAAATTATGTTTACTCCGTCTGGGGAGTATCTAGTGTCTTGTTTTCAAAATGATACTATTCAAGTGTGGAGGCATGATACTATGAAATCAGTGAAGCAAATTATCCCGAGTGAACTCAAACACCTGAAAAGCATAGCATTTACAATGAACGGCAGAGCTATGGCAATAGCCGGTCTCTCTACCACCTTAATCCTGTTTAGCATGGATACCTGGAAAGCACTTTTATCACTAGATTTAACAAAGTTTAATATATCTGGTGCTCAACAAGTTTCATTTCTTCCACAAGTTTTTGATGGAGGCTCCAATAAGATCCTTGGTGTTTTAAGCAGTGATTGTATAGTCTATTTGATCAACATAGAATCAGTGAAACTTGTTCATGTAGTCCGCTTTGAATCATCAGGCATTAGAGATTTCATTGTTAGCCCTACGGGAAAATATTTTTTATGTATACTACAACTGGGAGAAGTTAATATTTATAACACATCATTTGTACTGGATTTAGCAAAAATTTCAAAGGAGAAAGTAACCGTGCCAATAAAATCAATGCCACATATGGTATCAAAAAACGATTTACATACTAAATTTGAGGTTGAAAAAAGAATGCGCACTTGTATGGATAGTGTTAGATTAAGAAGAATTCTCATGCAATATGGAGAGTATCCGGAAAAATTTAGATCAGTTATTTGGCGATCACTACTCGCCACTCCAAGAAATAAAGTAGCCTATTCAAATCTCATAGACAAAGGTATTCACCCTGCTTTCAAAAATATTGAGAAACAGTTCACAATCCACAGTTCCATGACCCTAAAGAATCTTAAAAGGTTGCTTTCTTGTCTTGCACATTGGTGTCCATTATTTGGAGTCTTAAAATTTCTACCAGGATTTGTATTTCCATTTGTAAAGGTGTTACAGAAAGATCCACTGTTACTATTTGAATGTGTAGCGACAGTTCTTTTAAACCAATGCCAGCTTTGGTTTGAGTATGCTCCATTTCCTCCCCTCAGTATATTAGCCATAATTGAGAATATTCTTGCTGAACATGACCAGCAGCTTCTGGATCATTTTTGTGATCTCGGAGTTACAAGTCAAATCTATGCTTTAAAAATTCTAGAAACAGCTTTTAGTGAAGTTCTCACATGTTCGGAATGGTTAATTCTCTGGGATCATGTGATAAGTAACGAACCCTCTTTTATCATTATGGCTGTAGTCTCTTACAATATCATTCAAAAAACAGCATTAAGGAGATTAACAACATATGAAGAATTAGAGAATTTCTTTCACAAGCAAAATCCATTAGATAAAAAAGCATTTTTGAAAAAGACGTACTCTTTGTTAAATGAGACCTCTGAAGACATCCACCCCAGGCGTTTTATTAAATCTTTTACATCTCTCGATAAAGGTTTATGCTACCAACAATTCTCAGGCTACCCGAAGGCTACAATTTGCTTAAAGTTGGCTAGAAAAGAGAAGAAAAAGAATAAGAGTGATGGATATACCTTAACAGAGCTAACGTCAAAAAGTCAAGAACAAGAAATAATAAATCGATATAAATTTAGAGAAAATGAATCTATGCACAAATGTAGTGGTGATGATGTTGAGCATTTCCTAACGGACAGACATCGTAAAAAGAAGCAGCACGAGAGTGTACAGAGAAAAGGCGATTTTGTTAATAAGGATGTTAAAGCAGATTTAATCAAGAGTATTATGTGTCCAGCTACTGTTAATTTAAAGAAAGGCAGACGGCATTCGGAAAGATCGTGTAAAAAAGTAGAGGAATCAGACAAGGCCGAATCGATTTCGAAAAATAAGAAAGCTATAAAAAACAATCAACTAGAGAAAGCTGTTGAAAAACTACTCATCGATTCGGAAACATCTAGGTCCTAGATTCTAGGACTAGGAAGGAAGCACTAAAACACCCCTTACGTACGTACGACCGGCGAAACTTTAATTAAATACTCTAGTTATTTGAGTGGTAATGATACAATTATGTTAATCTTTTCTAGATAAAGATGATCTCGGTATGGTAGATTTCACATGACTAAACCTCTTCTTTGTTGCACTTGAATTTGCACTTCTGTTTTCTGTGTTCGATTTATTTGTATCAGCTGCTGTCGCCTTCGGTTTGAATAAACCTGAAAGTATTTATCAAACGATGATATCATTTTCACTGATACCTACTTACTATCAACAAAAACAACAAGCACTTACTATTAAATTTACTAATTTTGCTTTCTTGAGGCTTTTTTTCGAGTTTTGGTGTAGGGTTTTCACTTCTAAGCTTGAAGAGGCTAGGTGACATGCGACGTAGTCGGGATTGCTTATTATCTTTCGCAGCGAGAGTCGATGCGGACGCACTAGATTCCGATCTTTTAAGCCTACTAGTTACGTCGTCACTCACGGAGCCTAAGCTTTGCAAGTTAGGACTGGATGAGAATTGCGCTTTCGATGTCTCCGCTCCCTAAAAGTATTTATAACTGAGAATTGTAATGTTTTACCGAATTCATAATTGTAAACATCGAAAAATGTACCTTAAGAAGAGAAATCTTAGAAACGTCTAGAGCTAGATAGGACGAATCATTTTTGGCATCTTCACCTAACTCTTGGATTACGCTAGCCAAAATAATTCTTAATTCTTCGGCACCTTTCTCTGCGGCAATTAGATTTTCCATAACACTCATTGAAGCTTGTGTCTGAATTGGACTAAATAACTTTTGATTAGTATATTTTACATATAGACGCGTATGGTGTTTTTGCATGATAAATAAACAAACAAACCTAGACGTTTTGTTCCGACATCGAACGCTTCCAGGAGTTGAGGAAATGGTATAAGTGCTTTGTCTTTCGAAGCCCATCCGTACCTTAAAAAGTTAAAGCCTGATAAATTCGGGCTTGGGGCATACACAAAAAAAAAACAACATTTGCCTCAAATAAAATCATTGCTTTTTAAATTCACTAAGATCTTTCGACAGGAATTCTAAAACGTACTTATAGACACACGTTTTAGTATTTTATCAAAATGTGTAGGCAGGTACAACACAGACAATCTGGTTTAGTGCTAGAAAAGGTAGTTATTTTTCGAATCCTCTAAAACTAGTAAAGCCCACGGCGTACAAAACACCTATCGGCAATATTGATTGATTGCCTACTACACAAAACGGTGTAATGCTATGTAACAATAACGTCTATGTACATTTACAAAGTTACCTAATTATTATTTGTACCTCTCTTTGAACCTTATCTAAATAAATCCTTAGAAATAATCTGAAGCAATAAATTTTGCAGAATAGTCACCTTTGTCAGAATAGCTGCCTTTTTTTCCATATTGAGCTGCTTCAACGGGGGTCCTACAGGCTGCGACGCGTCTTCATTAGTCGTAAGTATATCGAGGGACCGGTACCGAGTGGGTGTGTCTATTTTCAGGTGCAATAATCTGAAATATATAAGTTTATATACTTTTAAGTAGCTACGGTCATGAGGTAAAATAAAAATTCCGTATAAATTGTTTAAACTTTAAACGCCCTCTTTATTTCTGTTTCATTTCTTTTTAAATTAGTTTAGTGCCCGGCGCAAGCCAGTTGAGGAATTTTATTGATTTTACCCAGAAAAATCACAAAATTGCCTAATTTCTACGGTTACCGGACCGTTAGTCTCATCGACATGATTAATTTCGAATTACCCCTTTTCTGGTGTATTCAATTCCAGCATACTAGTCGATCTATTGCCCTCTTTTGGTTTGCCATCTGATTCGTTGAATTCTTTTATGCATTTTATGATTGCTTGGAGCTCTTTGGTTATTCGGTCGCGTTGCACTCGAGGCAAAGATCCTAAGAGGCCGCTCCCACTCTCCTATAAGTATGAAGTTTATGGAAAAACTTTACACAGGTGTTTTTGACGTTAATAATTTTCGTAAAGTGAATCGATCGAATTCTTTGACTAAAAAATAATATGGGTTCATTTACCGTGTTGTGTTGTTTGCCTCCGGTCATACCGGATACCTGCCAGAAACCACTATTATTTTTGTTGACGTCCGTTGGACAGGAACATCTCACATCGGGACATTCCAATCTCACGTGAAAACCAGATCCCTGCGAAACAAGTAAATTGGGAAAAGCGAGCAATATCAACGAGGGGTTCGTAAGAGTCGAGTCTTTTGAAACAAACCTGACACGAGACTGACACACAACGCACACCGCATTCTTGACTCGTGTTCTCATCACGAGTCTCTAACGATTTTACCGTAAACCCTAAACACTGCAGCAACGCGCACAATTCCACGACATCTGTGTGAATATCCTGAGAATAATAAACCGTAATAATATACGTAAACTCAAATAAAAAGGTAGCAACACACTTAAAGTAGACGTGAGTTTTTGTAGTAATTAAAATAAACATACCGCTCGAGACATATTTGATATAATATAATAATGAATCAATAATAAGTCAGTCAGTCGCGACCTATATACTGTGTTAAATTAGTTAGACCCGTTGGACACAACTGAAATACGAGTATTGATCACAGACATTTTCTATTCACGAATGGCAACTGTCAATACTTTTAACTACCCTCATTCAATGGCTATTCTAAATATAACTGCTATAATGCTGATACATAGTATAAATGGCGATATTTATTTTAATAAGTTCTTTAACATACAAAAAGTATAGTGCTACAGTAGGTCTTTATGATTTACATGAAAATGCCGCAAATACAGAATGGAAATTTATATGACATCGTAGAAGACACGTTTATTGAAGTATTATCTTTGAGCCTAGGAAATGGTTTGCATTTAGTCATTTTCTCTTACTTGGCAGTTTCATAAAGCTCCTTAAATTTGCCTCGACAGAAGGGCAGACTTATTAGAAATTTCCTTCTTAAAAATAACGCTTCGATGTGTAGGTTTTCTGAATAAAATACTTCAGTGGGTGGATCACGCGATGCCTGAATGTCACCTTTAGCTGTCTACAGCCAGAGCAGGCCACACGTTTTTCCAGCATTTTATGCAGATTCATCTTGCTGTATGATTTATTCCGTAGATACGCGAATAAGAACCTTACAGCTGAGACGGAAAACTCCACATTGTATTAGGGGAAATTGGTAGGTTCACTAAAAGCTTATCTTTTTAAATTACATTTTGTAAGTACAGGAGATTGAAATCAAACAAGCATGTTTAGGAATACAATAAGATAATCAAAACGGCGACACGAGTTTAATTGTAAGTCATGTATCTAGGCGTCGCCGAGAATTTGGCGTAGCTCTTGATGACCTTGTTCACGGCTTCGAGGAAGTCTTTCTCTGTGGCCACTTTACGGCGAGCTCGGATGGCAAACATTCCCGCCTCGGTGCACACAGACCTGCGAATTTAGGTACACGATCAAAAATGTAATGAGAATCGCCTCTAAAAATACTTTTCCAATATTAATTATCTAATATTGGACTTACCGAATTTCTGCACCAGTCGAGTTAGGGCAGAGTCTAGCCAGTAGGTCGAAGCGAATGTCGCGTTCTACGCTCATAGACCGAGCGTGGATGCGAAAGATGTGCGCGCGGCCTTCGAGATCGGGCAGCCCGAACTCGACCTTTCGGTCGAGACGTCCGGGACGCATCAGCGCAGGGTCCAGTGTGTCGGGACGATTGGTGGCCATCAACACCTGAATATATGAAAAGCGTTTTTGTATTGATCAAAGGCTCGTTTAGAGTCTGAATAACTTGAACTGTGTGAAGAATGATACGCAGATAATTTAATGCTAACTCACGTTACCTTGATGTTTCCCCGAGGGTCAAATCCGTCGAGTTGGTTGATGAGCTCCAACATAGTTCTCTGCACTTCGTTGTCCCCTCCGGCGCCATCGTCGAACCTGCGTTTGAAACGACCACGCTTAGAAGTTAGTTATAATCTACAATGATGTGTGTAACTGTTTTTGTACGTGCTGTTTGTTTCACGGCGTGTAGCTTTTTCGCCAAACTTCGAGCGATTAAGTTGTTCACTGTGAATTAATGTAGGAGAGTTGTATCGGAATACCGCAGATGCTCATGTACGGCAATCCTTCTTTACTCTCCCGTAGTATAGATTCTGAATAACTCCGACCGGCATCAATCCGACTGAAGCTGACGACGTTAACTTAATTAAATTTCATAAATGATTGTTACTCTTCTTTAAATTAATACACATTACGCACCGAGCGCCACCTATGGCGTCAATTTCGTCGAAGAAAATGAGGCAAGCCTTCTTACTGCGCGCCATCTCGAACAGTTCCCTCACCATACGTGCTCCTTCTCCGACGTACTTCTGAACCAATTCAGACCCTAAGTAAGTATTAAGATTTTATTAATGCAAAGCAAAAAACAGTTAATTCGATTTATAAACATAAATAGATTATTGTAAGCTCCGTATCAAATGTATTAGAAGAGTAATCCGGCTTGTTTATCCTCCAGAGTATCCAGTGTTTTAAAATAATAAGCCAAAGCCAGTAAATACTGTCTATAGTTAACGCGAGTGGTACACATTTAAACCGAAGTGTTCTATTCAAAGCCAGTAAGTTAGACTTTACTGTGCCAACAACAAAGCATCTAATGCAATCAGAAGACAAGGAGGATATTTCATACAGGGTTTGTTGTATTATTTCAATACATCTATAACTAGAATTAGTTAATTCATGAGTGTGATTTGAAATTGGCAATGAACTACTTACCAATAACTCGAATGAAACAAGCATCCGTACGATTGGCCACGGCTCTTGCGCATAGTGTTTTACCAGTCCCGGGGGGCCCAAACAGTAAAACTCCCTTCGGAGGCTCGATACCTAACTTCACGAACTTTTCAGGCTGGAATTTATATAGTAATAATAGAGGAATCACTTCCCTTACAAAATTAACATCAGACTGTTACAAACAAAAATAGATGTTGTGATATAGCATTACAACTAATGGAACTATTCAGTCCCTGTCCCCAATTATACAAATGTATATGTGAGAGTTTAAACTAATATTTTTTTTCTAATTATTTATTATTTCACTACTTACATGTAATAATGGTGTTTCAACCACCTCCCTTAGCTTTTCAATCTGTTCCTTGCAACCTCCAACATCACTGTATGTCACATCAGGTTTTTCTTCAACCTGCATCATGGTGACAGTCGGGTCTATCTTAGGAGGAAGAGGGATGTGTATCTGGTACTTGTTGCGATCAACACTATCAAATTTGAACAAATATATTAGGGTACAAAAACTAGTTACTAGTTAAAGTATTACACAATTTTATATAAAAATACTAGTGTTTAAGTCTTAGAATTGATACATGCATATTTGCCTATTGTTCAAAGTAATATCTCAATACTATTACTTTTTGTACGGAGCTGAAACAGTGAACGTTAATGTAGGAGGTAGTTTAGAAAAACTGTTTTTTTTAACAGGTTTCCTGTAAACTCTCCAGTATGTCGCCCCCAGCCCAGAGCCTGAGAATACCTATAAAGCTTTTAACTTATATTTACCCAACTCTCATGCCTTCCTCTATGTCAGTGGGGGCAACTGAATCAGCTAGGTCTACAACAAACTTTGCAAACTGTTTCACATTAATTATGTACTTGGGATCATTTGAATCTGCATTAATAATTTTCGTGCATCTTGCCACCTGAAATGCAAGTATGTTATTATATTCACTTAATAACAATATACAATTTTGATTTGTTTTTACTTGTAAATATAAGTCTTAACTAAAACGCGATATACTGACTTAAACAAAAAAAAAAAAAAAAAAAAAAAAAAAAAAAAAAAAGGGAAGGGGGGGGGGGGGGAAAACCCCGGGACCCCGCGGCCCAAAAACACCCCAAACCCCCGGGCGGGGGAAAAAAACATTTCCAAAAAAATTAAAAAAAAAAACCGCGTTTTAAACCGTTAAAAAGTTTTTTTTAAATGGGTACTACCCGCGTAAACTATAGACAGTATTTGTTTTTACTTGTAAACATGAGTCTTACTAGATATACTGCTACAACATGCAACCAGTTTGATTAAGCAGTTTGGTCTAAGACCATATGCATTTTTTAATGGGTAACTTTTTGTTATGTATATGGTATTGGACCTGCAGAGGCTGTTCATTCTGCAATGTCTGTTTATCAGCTGCCAAATCCCACAAAGCAGGTGGTGCAAGTCCAGTATCTGACTCTTTGATTCCTGTTAGTTCATTGACCCTCTTCATGACTGTCTGTATACCATCTTCTACATCTTTAATAATTTTTGTGTATTGTCCCTGACCCTAAAAAAAGAATATACAAGATCGTTTAAATCGGTTATTCTCCGAAGTAAATTATTATAATATAGGTTATAATACTTACATATGACTTTAATAGTGCTATGTCGCCTTCATCCAGCGCTGTAAATAAATATTTTTAATAAGACAATTATATATCAGTTACTCGATGTTTTCAAAAAAACTTACATTTTATTTCCTTTTCTGGTTCCTCTTTGTCATCCTTAACTTTTCGCATATCATCTCCTAAATGATCAGGCATTTTGAGATATATTTGTTTAGTTTATAGTCTGAATAACAATGTCTTTGTTACTTTTCTTATTAAAGAAAAAAATTAAGAAGCAGCTTCTGTTTTAAAATAATATTTTACAAGTCACCCAAGCAGATTGACTAAATTGTCAATTGCCAAATGACTATCACAATATGATAATATAAGCCAGAATATATGATATGTATAATTTTACCTTGTGTCTTAAAGTTATGCATAGACAGAAATGTTTTTTTAATAAAACTATCGTCTTATATTTTAGTTAATATTAAATAATATTTTATTAAAAAAATATATATTTTATGATAATGTTAGAGGAATTCATTAAAGGTTGGTGAATTTTTGCTAAAGCTTTAAAATCATAAAACGTAGTGGTGTGACGCTAAAAACTATGAATCTTTGCGTAAAATGAAACGAAAAATGACAAGCAAAAGATATTATGTATGGATTCATTCAGTTATCTAAATATTTATAATATTTTAATAAACATTCTTGAAAAAGAAAAGTCAGATCGCACACATGTTAAGTATCTCAAGCGTTTAAACGATTATAATAGTAGTGACTTTCGAATTTTTGAATTAGCAAATTTTAGCTTGTAAAAAAATTCCAGGCTCCGATAGGTATAGTAATAAAGAGAACGCATTGACACTTATCAAGTTATTTCGTGGTGGCGCCACCTGAATTTTAATTTAGTACTATTATTTTGTATTCGTAGTGCTGAATGGAGAACCACATTTATTCGCGTTTTTTTCATGAAAATATTATCCTGAAACATTGAATATTATTTGTAGGTGAGACCATCATATGTTATTACCACAAAGCCATTATACAGGCATTTATATAGGATACTCAAAATAGATTTTATTCTTGACCTAAAATGTTAGTAATGTCAGGGCCCGGGTTTACTTGCGTTTTTCATTAACTTCGTGGTATATTGTTGTAATTATGAAATTGGCAGGTATTAACCGAATGCATTTCGTCGAGCTCAAAGCAGTTCGTTTATACACGATACAACTTTTTAAATTAAACGATGTCGTGTCTTTCAACTTGCAACCAAGACTGATTCAGTGAAAATGCTTAAAATTATCTCAGTGTTATCGTTTTCTGTTATCAATCGATACCTAACATCACATTTTTCAATATTAGATGAAATGTTAATACTTCCTAATGTGGACCAAAAATGTTTTGTTTGTTTAGAAAGGTTGGTTTTAATCTCTTTATAAATAACAAGTGGTGGTAGGTGTAGAGTGATGATAACCTTTGGATTAATATTATAAAATGTGATGTAAATCTTTTTGTACCTTGTTACATCATCGTTAAAGTACCCACTAGTTCAAATCATGCCAATGGCACAGAAAAGATAAGGACACATGGAGAATTGGCATGCCAAATCTTATATTCCAGCATTATTTTTACAATAACGTTGGAAGAATTTTACTTAGGATTGTTTGTTAGTTTAGATAACATATCAACCTTATTTATGTTAGAGTATCTTATATTTTTCCAATAAGAAAGTGTCATCGCTGACACTTTGGGTCTGCTTTTATCACAAAATTCAAAATAATGATGTCATTTATGCATATTAAATTTATGTCAGTTGATAAAAAATGAACACTACACAGCCTGCAGTTACCAAACAATACATAAGAGAAGACTTCTAAACTACACTATGTCGTAGTGGATTATGTTTATAGATTTACATGAAAGCATCATGTGGGTTGGTCTAAAAATACCCATTTACACAGATGACACATATGTGTGCAGTACTGTTTGAGGGAAATTACTTTCATTATATTGTTATTCAATTAGCAAAGACATGTCCATGTGTGCTCGGACATGTGAAAAAATGTTAAGTGTTATGGTGTACATATGTTATGTTTGGATTTAAGAAATTATTTAGTAAGGTAGTATTTTTAAATTTACCAGTTGTGTTTTTTGATTTTGTTTCTTTGTATTGAGAAATTTCTTATTTCCTATGCAATTACAATTTCATTTGCATTCAAAAAGCATTAATATAATAAAGTGAATATATTTTTTGTGTGTTTAATAATATTAATGTGGAAATTAACATCAGTTGATCAAAAGTGGATAGTAAAAGTTACATCAGCCATGCTATCTTGCAATGTCTTTGTTCATAAAATTATACCTAGCAGTCGTATCAGAGTGAAATTTACACTGAAAATTTTTGTACATTTTAATGAAAATGTGAAGAATAGTTATTTATTATATTGTCAAGCGCTGCCTCCGAGATGATTTTGTGTTAGATAATTCAGTAGTAGGAACGCACGAAAAAGTTGCGCAACTTATGTATGTAACGTATAAACAAGTGTTTTTCAATGATTTGTGTCAGTGCTGCGGGCGAGTTGGCGAAATGCACACAGCGAGCGCTGAAGGACAGTATCGAGGGACGAACGGCGCAGCACTGGGGCGAGATAAAGTCGCGATATTGGACGCTGGATCCCAGTATGGAAAGGTAATCCTTTATAATTTTATAACTTCTGAAACTTGACCCTTAAACTCACGATGGATTACAAATTGTGTTCTTAATACCAATCAACCTTTCTATAATTTTACTCCAATAAACTTAACTATCACAATGAATACATTAATATTTGACAAAATTATTTTATATAAATAGAATTTTATCTTGGGTTGTTTAATTTAAATATTCCGCAGTATCTATAATATTGATATCACTCTGTGGGTCAAAACCACAAATCCCTGAATAAGTAGATCATTTGACCTTTGTCGATAGAGTGTTACACGGTTTCTATTAGTTAGTATTCTCAATAATTTGCAGCCAAAACTGTTTTTTTTATGTTCAGATAATTATTTTTATAATATGTATCGTATATTCTAATCTACTTAACATAATAAGATAACGCAAGGTATCGTTTTAAGTTAATAGCTATACGCTTCGATCGAAAGAATACGTTTAAAAACGACAATAATCAAACCTGTTTCATCGTAACTGTCTAGGGTTGTAATATTACTACAGGTTACATATATGTATTATTACAGAAATATACGGAAACGGTTCATCGTGTACGAGCCAGAGATGATCTATACACAGTTTCATCTTCTAATTTTTTTAAATATATTTTTATATAGTTAAAAACAATATGTATATCTTGTTTAAATAATGACATGCATTCGAAGGGCGCATTTGCACTTCGTCGTTGTCAAATAAAATAAGACGCTATTGAAATTATGTATCCCGACGTCATCCGCAGCCCGTCATTGATGCAAGTTAATCTTACAAGATACATGATATTGTAGCGGACATTTTTTTAGTTTAACGTTTAAAGTTTTTACATATTTTTAAGAATGTTTGAACCATTTTCGCAGCGCAAACCCTCTAAAGAACTTTGAATTGAATGTCCCCCATTTTTTTTCACAATTCTTCCTGGGTAAATGCTCCAACGCAGATTTCATTTCGACCCAGTAGTTCCTCTTCTCTTTACTTGTCCTCGTCGTCAAGAGTAGAATCGGTTTCTCGTTAATTAATTAATGCAATGCATGTGTTGGATTGCGTTCCAGTTGTAATGCGCCGCTTCCCGGCAATAATCAGTTTCTAATTGACCAATCGTTTTGTTGAAAACCTCAAACCTGGAAAAAACTCTGTGGCGACCTCATTACTGCTACTGGGCGGTGTTAAAAGATTATTACTGTGTTACTATGCTCGTCCAAAGTTTCGATCAGTAAAGGTATGTGTTGCAGGTGATCGATCGCCGTGTCCGCGAGCTGTGCGTGGAGTCGGACATCCTGCCGCTGGACACGCCGGCGTACCACCTGAGCGAGGCGGGCTACAGGGCGATCATCATATCCGGCGGCCCCAACTCGGTGTACGCCGAGGACGCGCCCAGATATGACGCGGACATATTCAAGATGGGTCTGCCCGTCTTAGGTGCGTGCGGTTTAATCGGGATCTTTAGCATTTACGAACGGCTTTAGTTCACGGACATTCTTTGCAGGCATATGTTACGGCATGCAGATGTTGAACAAGGAGTTCGGCGGTTCCGTACTTCGCAAAGAAGCGCGTGAGGACGGACAGTACGAGGTTGAGGTCGAGACTTCTTGTCCGTTATTCAAGTATGTGTGCCGCTTTTTTTTTACCCATCTTGCGTCCAGAAAGTTATAAGCTATGTATCAACCTGAACTCATCATTTTAATCAATCACAAAGAGTATCAAGTAAAATCCCCTTCGTTTTAGTCGTCTAGAAAAACTGCAGCCGGTGTTACTGACGCACGGGGATAGCGTATCGAAGGTCGGGGATCGATTCCGCGTAGGTGCACAGTCGTCCAATCATCTCATCGCCGCCATATACAACGAGCAGTTGCGACTCTACGGCGTTCAGTTTCATCCAGAGGTAAAGCTGCGTGCGAAAACGACACGGTTACGCCTCACTCAGACGGAATCTAAGCTTCGCTTCATACATATATTGTTCTCAGGTGGACCTAACTCCGAAGGGCAAGCAGATGCTGTCGAACTTCCTGTTCGATATAGCGGGAATGTCGCGCTCCTTCACGCTGCGCTCGCGTCGCGACGCGTGCGTGCAGTACATTAGGGATACCGTCGGCGACAATAAAGTGCTCGTACGTGTTTCGTATTCAAATATTTTCGGCCCAGTGTTGGGATAACGTGTCACTGGCGCCGTGTTACATACCCCGGGGGATAATCTTAGAGGACTTTTTAAGGTACTGGTGAGCGGTGGAGTAGATTCGACAGTGTGTGCAGCGTTGCTGCGGACGGCGCTCCGGGAGGACCAAGTGGTCGCGCTACATATCGACAATGGTAAGCTCGTTGAGCCCCGAAATAACGTACCCGGGGAAAATACTTTTTCTATCTATCTTGCTTTATTTTTGCTCGTTATCCGATTTCATAAATTCTTGTTACAGGATTCATGCGTAAAAACGAAAGTGCCAAGGTGGAGAGATGTCTGCGCGAACTCGGAGTCCGTCTGCACGTCATCAACGCGGCACACCAGGTGAAGTGTGTTCCGGTTACTCCGCAAGGGATCCACGGTTGACAGAGTATATAATCGTGTTCTATACGACCGCAGTTCAGACAAGGCAGCACGACGGTCCGCGAGACGGGCGGCCGCACCCGCCACACGCCGCTGCTGTGCCACACCACCGCGCCGGAGGACAAGCGCAAGATCATCGGCGACGTGTTCATGCGCGTGGCCGAGCAGGCCGTCAAAGATCTGCTCCATGCACAGTGAGTACTCGCGTACAGTGAGTCGCTTTACGCGTGATTACCGTTCCCACTATGCGGAGTATGCTGGAACTGAGTCTTGCGTCACCGCAATAGAGCTTCTTGAGTGGACTCCGATTCCGGTATTGCGGTCGTTCATATTCGGACAATAACTCTATTAAGTTTTTAACTCTAAACAAAACTCAACTTTAGTGCCGTGTCATTCCAGAGAGGACCAAGTGCTCCTCGGCCAGGGCACCCTCCGGCCCGACCTCATCGAGTCTGCTTCGTCTCTCGCGTCCAGCAACGCCGCTACGATCAAAACGCACCACAACGACACCGAATTGGTTCGCGTGTTGAGGCAATGCGGTCGGGTCGTCGAACCGCTCAAGGACTTTCACAAAGACGAGGTGATTGTGACTCGTGCTCGGCAAACTGGAGCTGCAGTTAGTAATCTCATTATACTAAATCGTTGTTGATCTCTACAGGTGCGCATATTGGGTGCAGAACTAGGTTTACCGCCACTTCTAGTAGAACGGCAGCCGTTTCCGGGGCCCGGGCTGGCCGTTCGAGTGCTGTGCCAGGAAGAGCCTTTCGCCGATAGGGATTTTGCAGAGACACAGGTTTCGCCCGTTTCGTATTATAAAAATTCATAATATCTCAATATAAATCAAAATAAATGACAAATCTTTGGTTATAACACTTACTACGGGTCCTATCGTAATATACAGTAAGCGATGAAAATCACGTCCTTATACTTATCCTTGTGCAAAAAATTTCAACTTTAATAATCTCATAGTAATTCTTAAATTGACCTTTGGCCTTTTTTATAAGCTTTTTTTTATCTTAGCTAATTACAGAACAACTATGAACCCACTACAAACTACTGCGTAATGTTTCAGGTGATAGTAAAAATAATGGTGGAGTACGCGTCAATGTGTGTCAAGTGCCACGCGCTGCTCGGGCGAGTGACGAACGCGACCACGCCCACCGAGCAGGCCGAGCTCCGCCGCATCTCTTCCACGGGTCCACTCGTTGCCACGTTGCTGCCCGTTCGCTCTGTGGGAGTGCAAGGTCAGTAATGCTGACACGCCTTCGACCGGCGCGGAAGGTTCGCACAGGGCTTATCGTGTTGATCGCGAATCGCGGTTTTTGCAGGTGACGGACGGACGTACAGCTATGCGGTGGCGCTGTCGACGGAGCGCTACCCGCCCGACTGGAAGGACATGCAGTATCTCGCGCGCATAATACCCCGCGTCTGCCACAACGTCAACAGGTGAGCCGCGCGCACGTCGTTGCGCTGGGCGTGACGTCGGCCGAGCTCTCTCGACTGACGTACTCTTCTGTTTAAGGGTGTGCTACGCCTTCGGAGGAGTGATAAAGGAGCAAATAACCGACATCACGCCGACCTTCCTCACGCAACAAGTCATCTCCACCGTTCGCCAAGCGGACGACCTCGCCGCGCAGGCGCTGGCGTCGAGCGGCTACGCGAACCGCGTCGCCCAGATGCCGGTGGTGCTCATTCCGATCCACTTCGACCGGGATGCCGCACTGCGCGCGCCGTCGTGCCAACGCTCGCTGGTGCTTCGCCCCTTCCTCACTTCGGACTTCATGACCGGCGTGGCGGCTCTGCCCGGCTCGGAAGTCATGCCGCAGGAAGTACGTGATCGAACGCGTAGTTCTGTCACTCGGCGAGTGCGAGAGCGCACCTTTAGACTCATCTCTGCCAATGCAATTTTCAGGTGGTGGACAGAATGCGCAAAGAGCTGATGACGGTGCCCGGGATTTCGCGCGTGCTCTACGACTTGACGCCCAAGCCGCCCGCTACCACCGAGTGGGAATGATCGCGCGCCCCTCCGCGGACGCTATACGTTGTCTAATATATGTGAATCTATTCGATTACGGATTTATTATTTCATAGGAGGTAAAATCGATAGTTTACACGTGAACTACAATAAACAAAGCGAACGTCATTCGAATAATTTTCAATAATGAGATAAATAAATATACTACGACCCCCACTTTTATTTCAATATGTTAAATAAAGTTTACTTCGACGTCGATTTTCTGTCGTTCGCGTACGAGGCTCCACTCTGAACGCGGACAACTTTGCTGAAAACGAATGCTGAGCGACACGTCAACTGCCCGACTCGTACATCACGTATATTAGACAGATATCTCCGACTCGAAGTGATTAAATTGTCACTTTTAAGCACTCTGTAGGGGTGTAAATATTTTTTTACTGAACACCCAGTGGCAGTCTTAGAGACATACTTTTTTGTTCTTAATTACGATCATTCAGAATTTGCAAATAATTCAATAACTCCTAACTAGTTTATTGTTGACAGGTTGAGATTGTATGATTTTTCGTTTTAAAGTACTATTGCCGCACACTTCCACGAGATCTTGTATATACCTTGAAACAAAAACATACTCTAGCTCCACTGTTTTGTAACGAGTAGTATATATTACTATCGAGGGCTGTGTAAAATATAAAGCCAAGAGATATTGCACTTTGTATGAGATCAGACGCATCATTTATGGAATGGATCAGTGTTATTTACTGAGTTTCGTAATAAAAATTGTATAATTGCTTTATTTTAAAGTTCTATTTTATTTTTTTCCCAGTATTTGTATAACAACATTTTTACAACGATTACCAACTTTAAATATTGCTCAGAAAGAAATCATTAAATATGGTTGGCAAAATCAATATTTATTTTATTATGGTATAACTAAAGGGATTAAAAATACACTTGACATGAATAATTATAGTACAAACAATTATGTCCAATACTTGTCGAATGATGTTAAGAAAAACAAAGGAAAGTTATGTTATTAGCTATCTGGTACGAGCAAACTTATATTCTTCCCCCCTTTAATTTCTGCTCCAATAAAACCCTCTTCCTCCCCGCGAATAGAAAGAGTTTCCGTAAGTAATTCGTTCTTCTCTCTTAGCATTGGAGCTTTTATCCACCTTGAACTTTTACAATTGTTACACGATTGCAACGGCAGTATTTCAAATGAAATGGTTCTATTGTTGCAATCAGCACATTTGAAAAATCTTTTAAATGTTTCGATCACTTTAAGGGGATGACGATCGGTTTTGCAAAGTTCTGCGGCTGAAAAAGCAGTGTACTTGCACTTGACGCATCGAACCGCTTTGCAAGCGATTTTAAATGTATTCAACATTTTCTCTTCCATTGCTTCTTTCTTTTCCAATTTATTAAAGTACTTATTTTGTTCCGCGTCGTCATGCTCTTTTAGTAAATGTTCATGCGCCGAAGTTGCTTCGAGAATTTTTTTAAATCGTTCAGACATAATTATTTTACTACTACTACTGCAACTAGGTGCTCTCGCATTACTCTCTGTAACATTTGGTTCTATGTGAGTCCCTTTTAGTTTTGGTTTTTTATTACTATTTTCCTGTAAATCTGTGTCTGTCAAAAGCTTTTCGAGGGCACGTTTTTTACCTACATATGTTCCTTTTATGTTGTTTGGGTCAATTTTTGGAATCCCTCCACTCTGTTGTATCAATTTCACTGCATTAAACTTAGCTTTTTCGGCTCGCTTTTGACTAAAGGTCATGTTAAGGTCGATCATGCCTCCACCTTTTAGTCCAAAACCTAAAGTCGGGGAACTTCCAACCTTTTCAGACAAACTCTGCCGATTGGTAGGTGATTGACTTAGTGCATTTAGTCTATGTGTATCACTAATCTTGGATATTTTTGGACTATGTAATAATCCACTTTTGTTAAGCACAATGCCATTACTTGGTGCTTTATTAATCATCAATTTGTCACCTTCAGATTTATAATAATCACTCAATGACATTAACCTGTTTTGATCTCTGTCTTTAACAGTTTTATGATTACTCAGAGGTAATGCAGAATAAGCCTTACCGCCATATATAAATGTGTTTTTACCAAAAACTTTGTTTTCTAAATTAATAAGCCCCTTTCCCATAGTGGAGGACTGAAGTTCTTGGCGCTTTGAAAATTTTTGGTATTCTTGTTTTATATGGTATATGCAATGATCGCCTAGGCTCGTATTAACAACACTACTACAAGGTTCTCCATTTTTCTTCTTACTCTTACAAATACCAAAATCTTTGGATTGCCCTAAAAGCATGACCCTGTCTGAATTGTCGACACTGAGGCACGCTTGGTCTTTACTGTTTTCTGATCTATCAAGCACATTGGGGTTTAAAACCGCTACAATGGTACCTTCACTAGTTTTCCATAGTTCATTATAAGCTTTACGAAAAAGAAACAATGAAACTGTTTTAATATCATCCTTGAGATCACTTAGAGTCCAAATAACAAATTGGTTTCCCTTCTGAGATTTTTTGGTTGAACTCTTTCTAATTATAACTCCTGCGATTACCCAGTCTTTGCTAAGATTTTCGTTTTCTACATATCTTTTCACTCTAAGCATGTTGACTGCTTCTCTACCATGCATTCGATCCACTAGGGCAGTCATAGAAACAAGAGGTTTACTTATACGGATACCAAATACAGGATCGGTAAAGAGTTCAAGCGTACTGTTTTTCTTATCTGGCGTTCTAAACGTTTCATTGTTACATGAGCCAGACGTGCTAGCCTTTTTCGCTATAATTTTTGAAAGTTTCATATCCCTATTTCTTTCCCGTAGTCTGCTTTCAAATTCTAATCTTTCTTCTATACACTCCTGGTCCTTTTGCTGGAGGGACTTTTTAACAAGTGATCCATAATCATCATATTTGCGTTCTGTGTAATTTCTTCTCTCTTCATCGTCCGAAGAATCCGTATCACCAGTATGAACTACGGAACACGTCGCATCAGAGTCACTTGTGATATCGTGGGTTTCCGGAATAAATATATTAACTTCTTGTAGGCGGTCTCCTGTAATTGCAATTTTCTTATCGGGTGCATCTGCACACAAAAGTTCTTCTAGTTGTGCAAGTTCGTCTTTTGCTTCCATAGTAAGTAAATAATAGTTAACTAATTATTTCATGAATGAATTTGTGGTTGGCGGGAAATGGGAATTAACGGAGCACTTAGCCTATTGTCACTGCCAATTGCCAAAGCGACTATCAAAATATATACCACAGAGTTAGCAATGTTGACTGTAATTTTGAGATAAAAAAAATAGCGGACCCAATTTTATGTCTTTTTAACGTTTTTTCATGTTATTGGTATTTAAAAAGAAATGTTCACACTCGTATTTAGATGGAGCTAAATAAATTTAGTTATAGACAAAGAATATTATGTGACATGATGATACAGGTGATAATACAAAAGATAGAACACTGAAATTGAAGTTTAATATTATAAGAGAGATTCAAAAGGTGGGAGACGATATTAAAGTTACAGCAGGAAAAACGTGGATGAGAACTGCAACACTAAGAGGCGAGTGGAAGAAGTTGGGAGAATCCTATGCGGTATGCCGGAAAGAGGCAAACGGATATACCGGTCGTCGATGATTGCAAACATAATTATTGTAACTGTGATATTATCCGAAATAAAGGCTTTTATTATTTTATTTTTATTATTATGAGAGTAAATAAATAAATTGAAATGATTGAATGAAATTGAAGTTTAATATTATAAGAGTAATGAAAACTAGAAGCGCTAGAATTATAACTAATTCAGCAGAAGAAAGTTGTATATTGCATTTCATATTAGTAGGATGAATGATATTGTAAGGAGAACCTCGAGGCGGAAAAATCAAAGATTCTTACACTTGAAGAAAACATGATCCGTGTTATATACTTAGAGTTAAAATTGTAGTTACGCTACATTTTAAACTCTAAGTATAAAGCATATTCAATGTCAAGTTAGTTGTGGTTATCAAGACAATGTTCTTCTAAACCATAGAGTAGAATAATATATATTGAGATAGAGTGCTCTCTTACGGCTATGATTTCCGGTTAGTATTCGTAGTCGGGCTCAATACGACAAATCTTAATAAAAAGAAAATAACTACACTACTAATTACGGCATTTTGAAGCCATTCGAATGTCACTTTTTACTCGCAAAATCTTTTTTCCTCATAAACTGTTGTTCTGAACTTATAGATTGACATCCATAATTCGCATGCAAATGAAAATCAAAAGTTAAGAATTTAAAAAATAAAGTTAATTTTTGTATTTATAACTCAAGCTTCATGAAGCTAAATTCTTATTTGGCGTGAGAAATATCATTTTTAATGTATATACCTATATATCTTAACAAAAACTGTTTCCTTTAACAATCAAGTTGTTTTGGAATAAAGAACTAATAAATTATTTTCTATTTTTATCTATCTTTATTTTATAAATCTCCTGTCACGATGTTTGTCCGCTATGGACTCCTAAACTACTGGACTGATCTAAATTAAACACTAACGGTTTGAAACGCGAGTCTGGTCCTACTTGAGACATAGGATAGTTTAGATCTTTAATTATAAGTAGTCGCAATTTTATTTTATTGCAAATTATTTGTCTATAAATAATTGACAGTTACAATGGATTGAATAAGTAATCAATAGATGGCACTGCTACGGTAAACCGACAAACGTGTCATATAAACTACTATTCAATAGATGTAAAAAGCATGATGGTCCCCGTGACTGATGTTCTCCTACTGTTCAGCGTTCCTCTTAAATTGTATACCAAAATGTAATAAAACAATAACTTCAGCCACAGCAACGCGTGGTCGGGTGTGCTAGTACTAATATATAAAGCTGAAGAGTTTGATTGTTTCAACGCGCTAATCTCAGGAAGTACGGGTTCGAATTGAAATTTTTTTGTTTTGGTTAGAGGATTTATCGAGGAAGGTTATAGGCTAACAACACTTTGCGACTAATAGGAGCGAAAATACAGCGAGAAATGTGAACAAAGCGGGGGAATTTAAAATATCAAAAGAAATTGATCCACAGACATCCGAATCCAAAACGCCCTCGGTTGTAGTGCGGCTCTCACAAGTTGTTAGTGTCTAAATTGCTGACTAGGACGACAAAGATAAGGGCTTATAAAACAGTTATTAGACCAATCCTTTTATACGGCTGCGAAGCGTGGACGCTAACACTCAAAGTTTCGGTAGGCTTTCCTCGCATACTTCCTTTATCATTTCTGTGTACTCCTCGACCACCCTATCCAGCTCCTCTTCTGTTCTTATCTTGTCTAGGGTCTCTGCGCTTATACTTTTCCTTTCTAGCAGCTGGCCGATTTTCTCACGAAAATCAGTCCAGTGCGCCTTCCCCGTTTTGTATATCCTCGTGGTCCTTTCTATCATTATTCCTTTCAATTTTGTTCCTCTTATTTTAAACAGGATGGCGTTGTGGTCCGAGCTGGTCAGTGCCTCCTCGACCCTCCATTCCTCCACCAATCCTAAAAGGTTGGCGGAGTGGAATGTGACGTCGACGAAGCTACTGTAGCTCTTTCCTCCTCTATATGTGTCGAATGTAGGCGTTTCGCCTTCATTCGACACATATGCCCCCATTTCCGCAATTAATCCCATTAAGCTTTCCCCCCTCCTATCCGTAATCCTGCCCCCCCCAGAGGTCGCTCTTGGCGTTGGCGTCACCTGCAAAGATGACGTTTGGGCCCACCGAGTTCCAGATCTTCCGGAGGTCGTTTAGGTAAGGTTCAATGGGCGTGGGTGTGGGCTCGAAGTAGAACGATACGAGATGCACGTCCTGCTCGTAGGTTTTTGCTTTTACCACGACGATGTTTGGTGTGGTGAGGTCTGGACAAAGTGTTGCATCGGTATTTGGATCAAATAACACGATAGCAGCCTTGACCACCTTCTCTGCTTTACCTACGAACTGGAAGATTCTGGTGCCTCCGTAGATCTTCATTTTACCTTCCTTCCCCACGTACGGTTCCTGTACCAGCGCCACTGATACCTTTCTCCTTTGTCCCTCCATTATTAATTCTGTGGTGGCCGCGTCTTTCCTTTGCAGGTTGGCCTGTACTACCAAGAGCGATTCCATGTCCCTGTCCATTCCTCTTCCCTTTGCAACCTTAGCAATAAGCCACCGCTGCCCTTGCTAGCCTGTCCCACTTCTTCCTTACGGGGCATTCCTGTTCGAAGGCATTGTGGTTGGCCCTTTCGATGCCGGCCCTGCCACAGTTTATACAAGACGGTTTTATCCCGTTTTGGTGGTCAGGGCAGGCCTCCTTTTTGTGGGGTCCTCCACAATGTGAGCAGGTGTCCTGCTCCTCTTTGCAGAGCCTTCGTCCGTGGCCGTAACCCAGGCATCTCGAGCACTGCACTAGGGGTGTTTGGTCCATCGCCACCACTCTCTGCAGGTCGATATGCACTTTGCCCGCCTCCGTAATGTTTTGCCACATTTTTGGCGGGACCTGCAGTACAACGTGGTTGGCGTGTGGGTTCCTTGTCCTTCTTCTATATCTGACTATTATTCTTTCCTCTTCTTCCCTCTTTACTTCCTTCATTATTTCCCTGTTCTGTGTCTTGAGCGCTGCCACGAGCTCCTCGTCTGTGTGGACGCTCAAGACATCCCTCAGGATTATTTGCGGGTCTTTGTTTAGTGGCCTCTTCGACTTTCAGTTTATTGTTTTTCTTTAGTTTCTCCTTTACTCTTTCCAATTCTTCCCTACTTTCACATCCTACTATTACCCTTTGGTCCTTTATTTTCCTAATCCTGTCTACTCTGAGGCCTGTTTTTTTTGCATCTACTGTCCTTCCTTATTTCCTCTAGTACCTCTCCGCTTGTTTCCTTTCCTTCCGATGCGACTGTTATGGCGTACTTTGCCGTTTCATGTTCAATCTTCTTCCTTTCCTCTTTCTCCTGTTTTTACTGCTGTCGCGGCCACGCTGGCGTATGTTTTAAATTCGCTTATCGCTTTGTTCCCTTGTTCCAATGCCTCCCTTAGCTCCCTTTTTCGTTGTTTCCTCTTCCCTTTCTATATTCCTCTATCATCGCTGTCATTTTTGGTAGTTCCTTTTTTAGTTCCTTAAACTCTTTTTCTATAATCTTCCTCTGTTCCCGCAGTTCCTTCATTAGGTCCCCTGTTAGTTTCCCTGTATCCTTCTCTTTCTCTTTTATTCTATCTTCTTTTTCTTTCTTCTTCTTCTGTCTGAGTTTGTACCTTCTCTTTGTGTTTGTGCTTCTCTCATTCTCTGTTTGTTTATTTCTTCTTCCTTTGTTTCTCTCTTTGCCATCTGGCGTAGGGATTTAATTGCTTTCTTTATGCCTTCCTTTATGTCCCCTCTTAGGTTTCGGGAGTCGTCAATTAACTTGTCTATCCTGTCGAGTAGTCCCATTACGTTTTCTCCTTTTCCGCTTTTCCTTCCTCTGTCTTTCCTCCTTTTTTGCTTGTGCGGGCCTGGCTAGCGACCTTCTTTTCCATCCTCGGCTTTGTTTTTGCAGGTTCACTGCTTTTTGCGCACGGTTTGTGCGGTTTGTTGGTGCCTGCTTGGCCTGTGACTTTTGGTGTGCTGGGGGAGAGAGGGAGAACCGCACCACTTGTCTCTGCACCAGACCCTTGCGGACTTTTTTTTTTGGGTTTTGCTTGTTTCGTCGCTTGTTGTCCAAAACCACTGTTTTGTCGTGACGGGTGTCGTGTAGAAGTCTCTGTCAGGGGCTGACTAAGTCGTTTGGGGGGTGGGGTTCTGGCGATGGAGCTCATTTTGGGTAGGTCAGTAATTGTCAGTTTTGTAAAAGTAATATAAGTATAAAATTTTAAAATAAATTAAGATGCCAATAAAGCAAGTCCTTAATATCTAACTTAATTGCCAATAGGGGCCTAGGTCATATAATTTAAAACTTAATCAGCTAAGGGCTGCCACCAAAAAGAGGCAACCCAGTCAAAGTTACAATGTAATTATTGATTTAGAAGTCTAGTGTCTATTTATCACAGTTTACGCCCCCAATAGGGCGGCGTGTCGATAGAATAAGTATATTAACTTTTAACTTTATGAGTACTTTAGTCAATAATATAGTTTTAAATTCCTAAGTTTATCTAATAGAAATTTTACAGTGTTTAAAGCTATTTACGATTCTGTCTTATATGTTACCCCTGATTTCTTTGCCTACAGTTCCGGAATGTCTTAATATTTAAAATATATTTAGTTAAATTTAAAACATCAAAATTATTAAGAATTTAGTCAGATAAGTTAAAATTTTAAGAACGAGTTTCTACTAGTCTCTGTAATAATACAAGAGACAGGGTACGACATGAAAGTCTTAATTTAATACTTAAACGTTATCTTATAATCTAATATCACAGTCCAGTAATTCGGGAACGGTAGGGGGGTAGGGGGTTGTTTGGGGGGGGGGGGGGGGGGGGGGGGTTAGGGGTACCGTTAGATTAGGCTTATTTATGCTCTTTCGGACGTGTATACGTATACTACGTATACACGGCTGCTGTTATTTTTGCTCTAACTCTAACGGTTTAGGAGCTACGTCGATTTAAAGGATTTCAGAAAATTAAAATTTTGGAAAATTTTTTGGGAAAATTTTTTGGATAATGGGATAAGGTGTATAAATGTATTGCGGGGCAGATCGTTTATACCACCGTAGGTGGTAGAAACAGAATATGGGGTTATTTTAGGGCCTATCTCCTACCGTTCCCGAGATATCCCGGTTTTTGCGCAGCTGGTGTTCCCGGGCCGATATCTCGGCCGTTTCTGGTCGGATCCTGGATCCAGCGGTGTTTTCACGAATGGCCTTGAGGAGGGCTTTCCGGAACAAGGACGAACGCTCCGGAATTCCCTCGGGATCTTCGACCACGTGCCACGTGGTTTTTGTTTTTTGCGGGATTTAAAAATACTTCCCGTGGTCAGAAAATTTTTTGTGACCCCTCAAAAGATGCGTCTCGTTAGGCTCTATTCTATGCTGATTTTTAATATAGGGGTCACCGCTTTAGTTTTCAAGAGAAAATATATGTTTTGTACCTTAATTTTTAGGTTATCCGGTTTTTCCTCTGTTTAAAATTTTTTCCTGTAGTCCGATTTCGCTGCGAAGACCACCGCTGCACTGGGCTTGCTGAGCGCTTTCTTTTGATGTATGGCAACGATGTCCTCCTTCAGGATTTCGAGGACCACGTTTTTGTGAAAAAATTTTTAAAACGTTTTATAAAATCGAAACTTGGGCCGAAAAATCTGGAACGTACACCAAAAGATGCGTCTTTGCACGGCGCTCTTTTTTGCACTTAGAACTGGGGGGGTCGCCGATCTTAATTCGGCGCCGCACGCACTTAAGCACTTTTATTTTAAACTTTTTTCCAGTTTTTGCACTGAAATTCACTGTTTTTTCACGAGTTAAGCTTTTAAGTTTTTTATCAACAAATGGGGCACCGTTTAGACCTCGTCTCCACAGGCGCAAACGGGGCTGTCCTTACGTTTGAACCTGTGGAGATATGCGGCTAAACCACCATGCCCCATTAAAACCTGTGCTGTTTCGCCGTCCAATCCCACCCTTTTCATGATCCCGCGGCTGCAGCTGTTGGGAGTGAAGGGGGTGGTTGTTGAGGCTGTTTCTCCGTTTTGATAATCCTCCTCCCAACGCTGCACCGTTTCTGTCCTAATTAGTCTTTTTATAGTAGAGATTGGGCAAAGGTCGTAGTCTGTTTCTTTTTTTATTGTTTTGGGCGGCTTCTCTGCTAGCAAGTCCGCTCCTCTCATTCCCTCGTGTCCAGCGTGGCTTTATCCAAAAGAGATTTATAGTTTTTAATTCACGCATTTTATTAATTTTAC